TCACATGTTACAACAGCTCAGAGTGAGGTCACAACAGCTGCTGATTACTCTTACTGTTAAACAATGGAGAGTTACCACATCCCTGAGTTGCTTAGCATGACATGTGAACCAGGAAAGCTGGCTTGTTGGGGAAGAGACAAGCCTGAGCTGGACTCCAGATTTATCCTGAGTTTTTAATCCTCTCTCGGGGAGAGGATACAAGTGGTGAATAGAAATGGATCCTGAAAAATCAGGTCTCCAAAACAGCCTGTTGAACGTTACTCAATCTCCCTGCTCCCTGCATGGGCCCTTTTGTACCAGATCAGTTCCTCAACTCATCCTCATGTATTCCCATGTATTGCCCCACAATTTCCCCACATGATCCCTGGAGTGCACAGATCCTGGCATGTCTTGGTTCTTTGCTCCTGCTTCTTTCTTATGGAATCCTGGGACCCAAACAGAGAAGGTGTTGCTATGGCAAACAACAGCTAATGGCAGGCGATGGCTGGTCTCTTTCAGGAACCGTTTCCTCCAGATGAGGTAAGCAAATTCATAGTTTGCTTGTCACATTGAAGAGTCTCTGGAGGCTGTCCCCTGGGCTGTGCTTTGTCTTCCTGCGCAGCTCCATATCGAGCTGCAAATGGGATAGTGTGAGTTGGAGGACCCGATTCACTTCATTCTGTGCTCTCGAGGAAGCAGGAGCTCCTCCATCTGCACAGAAGCAGCATCAAGTTGTAGTGCAGGAAAAAGGGTTGCTATAGGACATTCTATACTATATATATTACTGCTGGCAAGAATCCCTCAGAAGGAATGGAGTAGCCTTCATAGTCAATAAAAGAGTAGAAAAAGCAATTTTGGAGATTGGGATACAATCTCCAAAATGACAGAATGATCTCAGTTCGAATCCAAGGCAAGCCATTCAACATCACAGTAGTCCAAGTCCATGCCCCAACCACTGGTGCTGAAGAGGCTGAAGTTGACCGGTTCTATGAAGGCCTACAACACCTTCTAGAATTAACACCCAAAAATGATGTCCTTATCATCATGGGGGATTGGAATGCTAAAGCAGGAAGCCAAAAGATAACCGGAATAACAGGCAAGTTTGGCCTTGGAGTACAAAATGAAGCAGGGCACAGGCTGGTAGAATTTTGTCAGGAGAACACGATGGTCATAGCAAATACTCTTTTCCAACAAACCAAGAGACGACTCTACACATGGACATCACCAGACAGTCAACACAGACATCAGGTTGACTATGTGCTCTGCAGCCAAAGATGGAGAAGCTCTATGAAGTCAGTAAAAACTAGACCAGGAGCTGACTGTGGCTCAGATCATGAACTTCCCGTTGCAAAATTTAGGCTTAAATTGAAGAAAGTAGGGAAAAGCACTACACCACTCAGGTATGACCTAAATCATATCCCTGATGAATGTACAGTAGAGGTGACAAATAGATTTAAGGAATTAGATCTGATAGACAGAGTGCCTGAAGAACTTTGGATGGAGGTTCACAACATTGTACAAGAGGTAGCAGCTAAAACCATCCCAAAGAAAAAGAAAAGCAAGAAAGCAAAATGGCTGTCTGAGGAAGCTTTACAAATAGCTGAGGAAAGAAGGGAAGTGAAAGGCAAGGAAGAAAGAGAAAGATACACCCAGTTGAATGCAGAATTCCAGAGAATAGCTAGAAGAGATAAGAATGCCTTCTTACATGAACAGTGCAAAGAAATAGAAGAAAACAATAGAATAGGGAGGACCGGAGATCTCTTCAAGAAAATTGGAGATATGAAGGGAATGTTTCATGCAAAGATGGGCATGATAAAGGACCAAAATGGCAGGGACCTAACAGAGGCAGAAGAGATTAAGAAGAGGTGGCAAGATTACACAGAACTATACAAGAAAGAGCTTAACGTCCCTGATAAGCATGATGGGGTGGTCATTGACCTCGAGCCAGACATCCTGGAATGTGAAGTCAAATGGGTCTTAGGAAGTCTGAGCAACAACAAAGCTAGTGGAGGTGACAGTATTCCAGCTGAGCTATTCAAAATCTTAAAAGACGATGCAGTAAAAGTGCTACACTCAATATGCCAGCAAATTTGGAAAACTCAACAGTGGCCACAGGATTGGAAAAGGTCAGTTTACATTCCCATCCCAAGGAAGGGCAATTCTAAGGAATGTTCAAACTACTGCACCATTGCACTCATTTCACATGCTAGCAAAGTGATGCTCAAAATCCTACAAGCTAGGCTGCAGCAGTATGTGGACCAAGAACTACCAGAAGTACAGGCAGGATTTTGAAGAGGGAGAGGAACTAGAGATCAAATTGCCAACCTACACTGGTTCATGGAGAAAGCGAAGGAGTTCTAGAAAAGCATCTACTTCTGCTTCATTGACTATGCTAAAGCCTTTGATTGTGTGGATCACAACAAATTGTGGCAAGTCCTTAAAGAGATGAGAGTACCAGGCCATCTTATTTGTCTCTTGAGAAACCTATATGTGGGTCAAGAAGCAACAGTTAGAACTGGACACGGAACCACTGATTGGTTCAAAATTGAGAAAGGAGTTCGGCAAGGCTGTATACTGTCACCCTGCCTATTTAACTTATATGCAGAGCACATCATGAGAAAGGCGGAGCTAGATGAATCACCAGTTGGAATTAAGATTGCTGGGAGAAATATCAACAACCTCAGATATGCAGATGATACCACTCTCATGGCAAAAAGTGAAGAGGAACTAAAGAGCCTCTTGATGCGGGTGAAGGAGGAGAGTGCAAAAGTTGGCTTGAAACTCAACATTAAGAAAACTAAGGTCATGGCATCCGGTCCTCTCACTTCCTGGCAAATAGATGGGGAAGAAATGGAGGTAGTGACAGATTTTATTTTCCTGGGCTCCAAGATCACCACAGATGGGGACTGCAGCCAAGAAATTAAAAGATGCTTGTTCCTGTGGAGGAAAGCTATGGCAAATCTAGACAGCATAGTAAAAAGCAGAGACATCACCCTGCCAACAAAAGTGCATATAGTGAAAGCTATGGTTTTCCCAGTAGCAAGGTATGGCTGTGAAAGCTGGACCATAAGGAAGGCTGAGTGCCAAAGGACTGAGGCCTTTGAATTGTGGTGCTGGAGGAGACTCCTGAGAGTCCCTTGGACCACCAGGCAATCAAACCAGTCAGTCCTAGAGGAGATCAAATCTGACTGCCCTTCAGAAGGCCAGATACTGAAGATGAAACTCAAATACTTTGGCCACCTAATTAGAAGGAGGAACTCCCGGAGAAGACCCTGATGCTGGGAACAATAGGTGGCAAAAGAAGAAGGGGATGGCAGAGGATGAGGTGGCTGGATGGGGTCACTGAAGCAGTTGGTGTGAACTTAAGTGGACTCTGGGGGATGATGGAGGACAGGAAGGCTTGGAGGAATGTTGTCCATGGGGTCGCAATGGGTCAGGCACGACTTTGTGCCTAACAAGAACAACAACAACATAATACATTCTGTCCTCATAAGGAAGAATCTGCAAGGCAAGCTTTTTATCTTGCTCTTCTCTTTCCTCTTCATTGTGGTGGGTTGCAGCCCTGTGTTTCGAACTCTGTGGGAAAAACTGGGCTAAGACTAGCTTGGAGCAAATGGGGGTTTGATTCTGCTGGAGCGGTCCTTTGCTCTCCTAATTTTGGATTAATTTTCAATCATCACTGAATGGTTGTCAGTGATCAGCAAAGATGGTATGGGAGGGGAAGTTGACTACTAACTGCTCTGTTCTTGCGAGCTGGCCAGGAATGGCTCCTTTCCCACTTGAGGGTTTGTTCTGTTGGTGTGCGGTGGAGCTACCTGCCAAGGCATGCTACCTGCACCGAATCGCTTCTTGGTCTTTAATGGAGCAGAGATTTGGAAATGTTTATGCTACAACACAGCAGAAAGGCCATGCTAAATATGGAACATCACATCCATCGGTGGAGCCATCCCGAGATGTCAGCGGCGGATGGGGTACAAAAGTTTTAAATAAAAAAAATCTGGTTGAAAAGTGATGCCATCAACATACTATTAAGAGCCGTAAAATACTACTGCTTTGCCATGAGCCCATCAGACAGGATGGAAACTGGAAGTTTTTCTTAGCGCACAGTCCAACTGGGATGCCCATGCTCATCCAATCCCTGCCTCCTTTTTCCTTCTTCTCTGCATTTTCCCTAGGTGCCTATTTTCAGTTTTCTGGCTGGGGCACTTCAGAGGGGAGAAGGCTGCTGAGGACAAAGGAGATGGCATCCCTCAGCTTCTGCAACGTCCTCATCTCGTTGCCCACCGCAACACCCCAGGGTTGAATGTCCGACCTCAGGAAGGCCTGCAGTGAGCTCTTTCAGCACCAGCTGTGAGGCAGGTTTAGAGCGTAGATTCCCTCAATGGTGCCATCAACACCGTCTGAGTTGGAGCTCTGCTTTCGACTTTGGCTATAGGAGTCAGTATCCTATAGCCTCCCAGATGATGTCCAGGGGCCATAGTATCACTGCCCTCGTCAGCAGGAGAGTTATGAAAAGGGGCTAATTGTGCCAGTTCTTTTGATTAAAGGAGACTATCTGCTTCAAAGGGTTTTACCTGAAATGATCCATCCAGTCTGTGCTGTCACTGTTTGGGAAGCCTCTGGGATTGGGGGTTACGGTTGGGCTGGATCTGGCAGGCAAAAGGAGCAGCAGTGGCTTTCTTTGTTTCCTTGCTCTCTCTCGTTTGCATTTTTGCTAAATGGGCTTGATGGCTCTTCATTGGGAGAGGGAAGGAGGCTAGAAGCAGCTTGTTCAGTTGCGACCCCATGGACTCTTCGCAACCCCATGGACAACATTCCTCCAGCTTAAGACACATCAAACCTTGGGTTCTCTTGTCTCCTCCCCTTTTCACCCATCAGAGTGCCCCCTTTCCCTTCTTTGAGGTCAAATTTCCAGCTTTGAAGATGCAGCTCTTTCTACACTGGCCAGAAACATTTCTACAAAAATTTCTCCACTCATCCCAGAAGCCAGAAAACCAAAAAGTTTCAAGACATCAACGTAACCTGGTTGAAGCAATTTCGATTTTATTAATGCAAGCACATCAAGTCAAACACAGAATATCCTGCTTTATGGTACAGCTTTATATGCAGCAATTCAGCTTGGAATAACAAAACACAGATGTTGAAAGAATGTATTAAACCAAAGGGGGAAAAATTAATAGAAAGCCATGAAGAAATGGCACTTTTTCAAGTATTTACTAAACCAATTGACCACTGGAGTGCACATTCATGTAAAAGCTTTTCTTCTTCTTAAATATGCATACACAAAAAGTGTTCCAGACTCGCATTTCAAATATATATATCTCTGAAATTTAAAGCATCCCTTTGTAAATTTAAAATATATTAACAAAGCTGATATACAATCCCTTTCATAGTATTTGACAATGTTGCTAGCTAGGACATCTTCAAAAGTGCAAAAAACCACTGTAATAATACAGTATAAATATTCTTTTAGCTCCAGGGCTGAAAATCAACACTTCAGCATGGGAAAAATAGCAGCAGATCACAAATAAAGAAAGCCACTGATTCTGTTTGTCTTTGTGGGGGTATCTTTCGGTTAATACACAGTATTTCTGCTTCCTCTTTTGACTTACATTAAGCATTTCCAATTTTGGTATCGCTCGTCTGTTTTGCCTTGTTCCCTGAACCATTTTAATGGTGGCAGCAAGATGCTTTGGCAAAGTGTATTGGTTTTTCAATCAAATGGATAGACAGCTTCCCAATTAAACATGCATTAATGAGAAAACAGTAATAGGATGAAAGAGAATCTCATGATGGCTTTCCGGTGTGGTCCAGTGGACAAAAAGCCTGGCAAATATTGAAGTATATTAACCGGCCATTATTGGGTCTTAGTTAATTGTCCAGGAGGAAAGCAATAGGTGCATTATAATATGTCACTGTCAATTGAACCAAGCTGATGCCCAGAGTTATTATTATTTGTCCCCTAATTCACAAAGCAAGCAGCCAGAAGCTGGAGAATACACTGGGCTTTTAAGCAAACGGAAACCTGATTTTCAAATCAGTGAATCAGCCATCATTTCAAGAACATTTAAAATAAGTTTAAATTGGCTAGCTTCATTGGTTTAGTGGTCTATAGGGATTGTTTCACCATCTTTATGTGACTTGGCCAAAACTTGTAAAGCTGTATTTATTTCACACCACACTTTTCAATTTGAGCAAGTCCAATGTGTCTTAATAGGGCGACTTTCCTGTATGAGCTGTTTCACACATGCAAGTTCATCACTTGAAAACCACAAGATCAAACATTGATTTATGTGGGAGACTGAGCATCTTCAGAGTTTTCAGTGGTGTCTGTTCACATGGGCAAGTATCACTGAGCAATGAAAAGCCCACCTCTATGGGGATATGCATAACCCTCTCGATGCAGGTTGTGGGCATCCAAAGGAAGGAGGGAGGGATGCGAAGGCTAAGATCAACTATGTACTCTTTTTGCCCTCAAAAATAATTTGCTGGCCAATTTCCCTCTTCCTCATGAGAAGAGATGCACTGCCTGGATTTGATGGTCTTCCATCTTTGGGCTCACATCAGACACAAAAAGAACCAAGCTGTGTCCCCATGAAGTTGGAGTCCCTGCCGTCATCTGGATCCACTTTTCCAAAATATTAGCAGTGACCATGTTCCTACAGATGGCCAGAGAATGTCTACTGACCAAAGGATTGTGTTCTAAGTGATGTAGCCTGCATGCATGAGCATTTCTTCATTTTTCAAAGGAGTCAACAGGAAAATTGTGTAGCCCTTAGAAACGAAGACTCAAAATCACAAGCCTCAGTCAGATTCATAATGGTCAGAAATCATTTTACAAAGCAGTGGCATAACTGAATGATAGAAGCACAGCACTGCAATTTGTATCGCACTGCAATTGTGCATTGCACAGCTGTAACTGGACCAGAATGTTGCGAACTGTCCAGATACACTTTTGAAAACTTTTCATCCTAGCAATTTTGTGACAGGGTTCAACACAGCAGCAGCAAGAGTTAGACATCACAGGGCGAGTTCATGATTTGATAAAACAATAATAACCAGAATGGCCAGATTGGGAGAATGTGCTCTTCTGTATCAACGGGCATGAGCTGATGGTGACTGGTGTCTCTTGAAGGTGTCTAAAGGGGAGGCTCTGGAGAGTGGCTTAACTCAGGGGCAGGCCACCTTCTTGGGCCATGGGCACATAGCAATGTGAGAAACCGTCCTGGGCATCACCACAAAATGGCTGTCATGGGAGATGCAGCAATGGCCAAGGAACTTACCCAACAGGCTGAATGCAAGGCAACAGTAGAGCTGTTCAAGTCACCGTTTGCAGTACCAGGAGCAACCCGTTTCACAGCAATCTGAGTTGCTGGCAAGACAGAGTGTTCATGAAAGAGAAGAGAGAAGTGCACAGCGCCCCGGCAGGTGCCAAGAAAGGGGACCCTGCTGGCCACATTGCCTCTCCCTGGTTTCATAGACTCAGAGAACAGCAGCGTTGGAAGGAGCCCAGAAGGCCATCAGGTCGAACCCCTGCTGTTGCAGGACACCAGTTCATACCATCCCATTCAGGTGGGTCAACCCTTAATTTGAACACATACTACATCAATGAAGATTTCCTTTTTTGAAAATATCCTCCCTCATTCTTCTGTTGTGGCAGTCACATCGACATACTCCTATTTTCTGCATTTATTTGCTAGATGCTAATTTATAAAAAGTGACACGCAGTAACTGTTTACCATTTTGCGAGACTGGAATGATTGCATGTTTGTCTCACTCCACCCCCCCTTGTAAAATCCCTGATAAATCAAATGCAAATGTAAACTGAAGAGTTCTCAGAACTAATAAAACCGTGTAGGGAAAGGAAAGAAGAACAATCAAACATTTATCCCATTTTACCTTGTAACAATAAAAAAAGTTCTGCTGCACCATCATTGTTATCAAGACAGGCATACTCTAGTTCGTGTGCCGTGTCTTCCAGTTTATTTACAAAGCTGTCGCTGGTTTTTAAAGACATCCATATTTTTATTTTGCTTGCTTCCAACCCAAAGCTGTAGAAGGTACGCTAAACAATTTCAGAACCTTGTAAGGCACGTAAGAAGGGAGCAGTCTTGCTGCTGAAGTGGTTAAGGCCAGACTAAAGGAAAGGACTCTTTGTGCCAAATTGGGGACGCCCGACTTGGGGCCGAAGGTTCATTTATGCATTTAGCAAACTGGAACAAAGCTTGGCCTGGACTTTGTCACTGCAGGGAAAGGTGTCTGAGTACTCCCTGCCAGAATTAACACATTGGCCGAGCTCCAGAGAGGAGTGAGTTGGCAGGAAGGTTTCCCATCTCTGTTGCCCCTGATCGCACGAGCTAACTGTGCCCTCCAAGAACCTTTCTGGATGGGGGCTTCTCCTCAAGCCATCTGAGATGGGGCACATGGGGACTGTTGGAAGAAGGGCAGAGAAGAGAACAGGAAACGTTCCTCCCATTTTTAGGGAGGATTTGTGGCATTATTTGGAGAAAACGAGTGTATTCGGGAGACAGGTTGGCCTCGTCTTCCCAAATGTGGTATGCATTTCCTCTCCAGTGCGAACATTCCAACCAGCAACCAAGAGCACCCCACAACATTTATAATGGTCTAGTCCAGGCGAAGCTTTTCTGCTTGCTTCTGCCTGACTGTATAAAGTGGCCGTAGGAGCATTACAAATTAACAAGGCAAGGAAGGCAGCATAAGAAAAGTGGAGAACCCCGAACCATGGGAATCATTCCAGAAGAGTAGCAAGTGAAGCACATTGCGGGGCGGAGAGATTACAAAGGGGCACCTTGAAGACTGATTTCCCAAGACCTGCCCTGTCATGGGCAAACATCTCCTCCATCAGGTGCAGCAAACGAACAATAAGCTGGACTTAAGAAGCTGGTTGGACCTCCTCTTCTGGAAGAATGAGTACGAGGGCTGTTCGGAACATCCATGGCCAAGAGGGCTCACAGCTTGGCAAGGGCTCTGTGCTTTAGCATCGTTAGCACAGTAGCCAGCCTGTGCCAATCTTGGAAAATGCTTTTGTGCCTCTTTGGGTCCGTAGAGGCCTTGGCAGTTCTCAATCGTATCAGCCCCACATAATTCAATTCATTTTCCGGAGGTGTGAAATGGATCAAGGCAGAGAAAATCACAGAATCTGTGTGCGTGCTGAGTCCATCTGAGCATTTGCATGTATTAGGCGGAAGTAATCAAACATTAAAATAAAGATCTGGATGTCATTAGAGTAAGACATCACCACGGATTCCATCCCCCACAGTCAATTTCATCTCTGAGACCAGGGCCCCGCCCTTTTTTAACTCGTTAAAAAACAAAATCCTTCACTTTTAAGTGCCTTAAGGTTGATGTGAAATATTTAGCACGTTTTTCTTCTTTTGTAATTCATAAAATGTATTGTATATACAAAACAGGCCTCAGCCAGTGAGGCCTTCCTTTCTCAAACCACGTTGCTCAGGATTTAAAAACAATGTTTTTAGTGTGTGCTTTAGAATCTGGAGACAAAGTCCAAAACCTCAGGCTCTGTTGAGCAGAGTTGTCCTAAAAGTGAAGATTAAAAACAAACAAAAAAATGTCAGCAAATCATCCTTAAGGCATGTTATCTGAAGTCAGAGAAGGCAGTGGTATTCAAAGCACCTGGTCCAGTGGTGAGGGTGTCCGAGGTGTGTCCAGAAAGTAATGAGAATGAAGTCCTGTGCTAGAGAAGGGCTCTGTGAAGGGAGAGGCTGGCCAAGGTCACTTGGGGTGGGGTGAGAACACTGACCAGCTGCATTCCAGCCCTGCCAGAGCCGAGACATTCTCTCTTGTGACACCCTGTTCAAGGGCCTCGTATTAAGAAAAATGCAAGCAAGTTCGGAACAGCGGAACGTGATAAAATTGGGGGAAAGCGCATCAGAAACTTGGGAAATGGGGAGGAGAGGTTATGGAGAAGCTGTGCTATCATCTGCACACGCGTACCGATGGCACAAGTTGAGATCGGCTCGACTTGGATCCTTCCTCACAACAATGCACACAGCCACAGTGCTTTGGCCGTCAGAGAGTTTTTGGCTGAGAAACACATCATGGTGCTTCCCCATCCACCCTACAACCCCGCCTTGGCTCCTTGCGACTTCTTCATCTCCCCAGAGATGAAGAATGGTTTGAAAGGACACCATTTTGGCGGTGTGGATAGAGCCACTATGCAGGCTGCGAACACCATCCCACTGGAAGACTTCCAGGGATGCTATGAAGAGTGGAACAATCGCTGGGAGCGTTGTGTACACTCACATAGTGCATACTTTGAAGGAGACAATAGTCAACTGTAAAATTTTTCAATAAAAGGATTTTTAAAATATCATTCTCATTACTTTCTGGACACAACTTGTGTATGTAGGGCTACTTGTATAGTCCTCTTCATTTAGGACTCCTCTAACAGGGGAGCTCCTGTTTTACTAAGCTTGTCGTGGGGTGCCTGGCAGCCGGATGGCTTTTCTTGGTTTCTTTCCTCCCTGTGCCTTTCCTTCGAGATTGATTTGCAAGCCCACAACTCAGGAGCTGCCCACAGAGCAGATTTTTGCTCTGATGAGGACCATGTTGCTTCCTGAGTGAAAAATTTGACCGCTCCTGGTCAAAGCCACCATGTGCATCAGACTTCAGATGCAGCACAGGCCGGTTTGCTGTGTAAGCCAGAGCAGCACTGCTAGGAATGGCTTGCACAGGCAGCAACACCAAGTGAAACTAAGATTTTAGAAGGAGGTGGGAGGGCATCACTTTTGCTTGAAAGAGGAGCAAGCCCTTCTGCAAATAGAAAACCAGCACGATAGGCTCTAACGTAGGGGAGTCGTTGCTGTTATCGTTATTATCACATTGCATTTCTATCCCTACTTTTTCCTCTCGTGAGGAACCCAAGGCAGCTTAAATAGCTCTATTTCATCCTCTTAGCAACCCTGTGAGGCAGGCTGGGCTGCTAGTCTGTAACTGGCGCAAAGTCACCCCATGAGATTCATGGTTGAGCAAGGATCTCTCGATTCCCCAGTACAACACTCTCCCTGCTTTCAACCTGAAGTGCTCCCTTTTACCACCTCTCTTTTCAGCAGGTGTTCAATCCCAAGTGATTTTGAACGAGGGATAAGAGAATAAAGTGGCTGATTTCTGGACCGTACTACTCGAAATTGTGCTCTTCGAATGCTCATGTAAAATAGTTCTAATTATATGGTAAACAAGCACACCTTTCTGACTGGTTAGCAGACTGCATGCAAAAAGCACCTGGGTGCATTCAAAAAATCCCTCCCCTTATGGTCTGCAATACAACTGCGGGGAACAACTCTGCTACCACAGTCCGCTCCCTTCCCAAAACTACTTCTGGGGATGAATGGCCCACTCCACTGGAGGACCTTGGGAGAGACGATGCCATGGGGTGGACCAGGTGTTCACGCCCCAGCAGCGCTTTTCTCAAACACAAGCCGGGAAGTCATACATGGCTTGGATTTTAATCCAACCAGAAAATAACGACACAGCTTTTAACACTCGCCTGTCCATTGAGGCAGGCCTCTCCAGGCTGAGCATGGCGAACTTTTCTACTTCACATAGGTGCCAAAGGGTTTACGGCTAAGTTTCGGCTCACCACCAGTGGCCTTTATTACCTGAGTGTCTTCCAGCTGTCTTTCTCCATATGATTTTCTGGGCCTTCACTTTCGAAAGATGCAATAAACAAAGCTGAGAAATAAAAGGCAGGTTGAGGGAGGTCATCAGAAACCATAAGAGGTGTTTAATAAATGTTATATAAGACTCCTGCCAAAAATGTCACCTTCCGAACATGTAAGAGCTGGAATAGATTGTTGGCTTTGATCCTGATGGTATGCCATCAAGTAGAGCTAATTCTAACTGTTCTTTGCCTCTCGTCCTCCTCAAGAGTGGCATTATTCTCACAAGACTTCCAAATATTTATATTTAAAAGTGAAGTCCCAGTGCCAGGAAGAACATAGAATGCTTCCATTTGGTTTGTGCTTAAATGGGGTCAGAAGGAGAACATCTGGCCATGTGGGTTGCAGAGTACGTTGAATGTCTCCTCTGCATTCTGCCCACTGCCAGCAACTTTCACCGAGGTCACAAAGAACAGTGGGAGGGGCACAAAGGCAGGGATGTGGAAGTGACCTCATTCCACACGAGCAAGCCATGACTCTTACCTTCTTCACTATAAATAGGTGCAGTGAGTAGATAGCTCTGAATTTTCCTGTCTTTTTCAAAAGGACATTCCACTTGCTTCCATGTGATGAAGTCATGGATTTGCCTTGAAATTTCCCAGAACTTCTGCATGAGATAAGCAAAAATGAAGTACTACTTTGTGCTACTTTATTTCACCACTTTCCAACATTTGGCCAGGTCTACAGTCCTTGGGTTGCTGCATCCAGCAGGAAAACCCCATTCAGTGGCCTCTGGGAGGCCATGAGGCCACCAATGGCCTTGGGGCCCAGCCAGAACTGCATGGAGGTTGAGAGCAGGAACCCACACATTCATCTGGGGCTTCCCTCGGCTGTCGCAGACGCACTGGTCTTCAAAATCGCGCTCATCCCAAGCAGCCACGCGTCTGCTCTCTTGCCACATGGCAGCACCGATTCAAATAAATGGCAGCTGGCTAGATGACAAGGAGACCCTCCCCAGTGCATCTCCTAGTTTTCTCGCAGACTTGCTTAAGGGATGCTTGCAGCAAAAAGTTACGTTCATGGCACAGTACCCAGCTCCACTCAAGCGCCAAAGCCATTCCCTCCCTGGAGAGGGACATGCAACCCTTCTGCTCACGCACATTTTGCCCTCCCAAACAATTGGCGAGGGTCCTTCGCTTTTTATCAAAGCAAATTCATGTGTGTTGCCAACCTCTTAAAATACCGGAAATTTGCTTTGCATAAAATGCAATGTAAAGATTGGGAAGGCTGCATTGTTTTCCTATAGAGCATACAGTTCTGATCTGTGTAAAAAGGGACCCTGAGGTAGATCCCTTTCCTTCCCTTCCCCACATCCCATTCCCATCATGTCCATCATGCAATCACTATTTCCAGCTCCTGCAAAAATCAATTCATTGCAACATTTCAACAACATAAAATGAAAAACAGGGAAAATGTAGCTACATAGATCCAAATATGTCAATTCCCATCTTCTTGTGTGTGCAAACCACTTACTTACCTTGAAGTTTATCTGTCCATTGGGCAAATGGTTGGTGTGTATTTTGTGCAGGAAGTATATATCCTTAATGAAAAGATTGAAAACTGGGATGACGATTTTCTCCCGGCTGCTGTGCGCCGTCTGTGACCTCTGCGCTGCTCCTTGGAGGGCGGTCCGATAATTGCAAAAGTTGCTGGATGGGTCCATGTGATGCTGTTGGGTTTTCCCCCACCAGAAGAAAAGCCAATTGTGGTTAGAATTCTCACAAGTACAAATGCACACATCATTTGTTTATATCATCTTAGGAGGATCCCCCCCACCCCGCTCCCAAATAAGCCTTCTTCGAGGTTTCTACACATTCCTTTCATTCAAACTTTTGGGAAATACGAACGACTTTCCTCTAAAAGCCCTTCCAAAACACAGCGTGTGCTGTGGGGAGTTTCCAGACAAGGGTGTCATGGCCCTGACTCATTCACAACGTGTGTGTGTGTGTGTGTGTGTGTGAATGATCCCACCTTTCCCTCTAAGTCCTCCCACACTCTCCAATTTCACCTTAGATTAAATGATAACTGTTCCTTGTGAAGAGTAAATGGTGGCGTGGTGGAGATTCGGGTGGTGATTATAATGTAACAATCGCATTTAAGAGTTGCTTAGAAGGGGATGTCTTCTTGCTAAATGATGATCATCTCTTTCCACCAGATGGCAGACTTTAATTAGAGATGAAAAATAGCAACTGTCATTTAAATCAGAAAGGGGAATGGTTTAGGGAAGGGCTGCCACCAAAGGGACCGCAGATCCTTGTTCCCTTTTGGGATTTGCCAGATCCTTGTCCTGAGTTTTCAGCTTCCATTTTTAAGGAAGATCCTTGACTAAAGGCAGAAGTGACTTGGACTGTTCACATGTGGTTGAACTTCAACTCCCTGTCAAGCCTCAACCAGCAGTGCCAATAGATGGGGATGATGGGAGAGGAGCCCAAACCACAACTGGAGGGCTGCTGCTCATCCATCTCTGAGACCTAAGTGGAAAACATGCAAAAACCACGCTGCTCAATTGCTCAGTAAGAGGCAGAATGTGCACCTTTCTCACACTGATTTAGCCAATGAGTGCAAAGCTGCTGGGATGGACTAAACGCACTGGAGAAATTTTTCCCATTTAATTTTTCGCACTTTTTCAAACCAAAATTTAAGGTACCATCTTATGTATGTTGTTTATTCTTCTCAACATGCAGAGGGCTGCACCGTACACTGAATTAAACTTATACAATAATGCACAGAGCCTGGAGAGCCTGGGTTAATGGTATTTAGATTTGGTTGTTTGGCATCGACTCTCTTTCCCAGTTTACCCTTAATTCTTAGACTTAAGAAGTATGTGAATAAGGGCAGAGAACAAGGACTACACAGATACATTAAGATTACACATGTTTATTGGATCTTTAATGAAATGAATATATAACTGTGAATGTTCAGCAGGACATGGACAATGTGTAAAAATTACCTCTAGAACATCAAATTTGGCCGTCTTGACTTTGGACCACGTTTTCTTCAGCCGGGCCACAGGACTCAAGTTCATGCCAGCTGAAAAAGGAGAGTAAAACCAATGGAAAAGGTTAAGCAACTCATATGAATTATCCTTGTGCATCTATCGGGGCTTATCTAGTGCAGCTTGGTACTTTTGAAGATACTTGTGTCCATAGGATCATAGAAAAGTTTCATAGAAAAGTTTCATAGATAATCATAGAGTTGAAAGGGGTCAAGAAGGCCATCAGGTCCAACCCCTGCTCAAGGCAGGACACCAAGTTGAACCACCTCTCTCAGGGGGCTGTCCAGCTGCCTCTGGAATGCCTCCAGTGTGGGAGAGCCCACCACCTCCCTAGGGCATTGGATCCATTGCTGTACTGCTCCAACAGTTAGGAAATTCTTCTGGATGTCCAGTTGGAACCTGCCTTCCTATAACTTGAGCCCATTATGTTGTGTCTTGCACTCTGGGATAAGTGAGGAGAGATCCTGGCCTTCCTCACTGTGACAGCCTTTCATGTATTTGGAATGAGTATGGAATGGGTTTCCACAGGAGGTGGTTGAATCGGTGAGGTTGTTCAAGGATAGGCTGGACACACACATAGTAGGCGTGTCATGAGTGCAGCTGGCTGGAGCCAGGGGTCATTCTGGATGGCACGAAAGGCCCCTTCTGACTCATTCTGTTTCTAGATTTTTATGTATTTGAAAGAGCTAGTGCAGATATTAAAAAGGGCTCTCTCGGCCATTCCTGAGAGCTCAGAACTGGCCTTGAGACTATGAGCACCCTCCTTAGCTGGTTTCAGGTCCTGGATAAGAATCTAGTTGAACTGGAGATCTTTACTAGTTTAACCCTCCCCTGGTTGTGTCCCTTAAAAATGGTTGAAGAAACCTGTGGGACATTTGCTCTGAGGAGCAGGGAGTGTGAATTCGCCATCCACCTCTGATCAGATCTTCGTCGTGACATCTGTGCCAGCCTTTGAAGTTTTAAAGCTGGGAGCAGCTTGAATTTCAACCAGCCAGATGAATGCCACAAAATGTCATTTTATCTTGTCTAGGAGTGATTCACACATGAAGGGGTTTTCAGGGTAGGTTTATATCTCTACTGCTTATATCTCAGTGTACTGTTGAAAATGCACAATCTGCACAAATGCATATTCTTGTGTCTGTGAGCATCTCTCTCTCTCTCTCTCTCTCTCTCTCTCTCTCTCTCTCTCTCTCTCTCACACACACACACACACACACACACACACACACACACACACACACAGAGTCTTCCATTGCCTTTGTGGAAGAATACTCACAGATAATGGCCATCATTGAATTAAAATTCCCGATGTTGAAGCACTCTCTTGCCACGTCAATGAAAAATTCCACTACTCTTGTTCTCTGCTTCTTCTTCACAACCTGAAATTTGAGCAATGATGCCATAAATGGGAGATCACACAAAGGGGGGACCCCACCATCCACAAGAGGAAAACATGCGTTTGGAAAAGCTATTGATACAACTGTGCCACTCCAAGCCTCCGAAAAGTTGTGTTAAGATCCCTTTTATTACAGTGAGCCATTTTTGGGGAGATGATGAAAAACTCATGTGTGGTTGGATGATGAAATTCTTCCTATGGAAGATTAGGATCAGGGTTTTAGGAGGTTTTAAAACAGGAGAAAACAAAATAATATTAATAATTTCCTGGAGAGGGTAGATGAAGTGGTGTAGTTTATTACCAAAAATATTTCAAAAACTCTGTCCTCAAAGGGAGAAAATGCTAAATACGTTATCTAGGGGAGACGTGGTTCTCCACAGAGACAAGAGCTGACAGTAACACTGAGGAATAACACTGAGGAATCTGACTTCTTAAATATACTATCTTGCCCTTAGATAATGCATTAAAGTTGCATCAAATATGTAAATAGGTACGTTTACACACACGGATTCTGAGAGTGGTCCAAAGGCTGCTCAGTGAGTTTCAGGCCTGATCAGGGCGTCTGAATCACGCTCTCCCAGAGCCAAGTCCAACACTCTGCTACATCACACCAGCCCTCCAACATTTAGTGTTAAAAGCAACATTCATAGCACAAGCAGAATTGCTGCAAAGTCCCAGTTATTTTTAGTAGAAGCTCAGGTGTGCATTTAACCCTCTCCCACTGAAAATAATGGGTTTCCAATACCCGACTTTGTCTAAAACTGTGTCCTACTTTGTTTTTGAAAGTTTGCTGCCCACTCAGTGGGCATTACCTTCTGGGCTTTGAGGAGCACCTACTTTCCATAATTTGTTGCTGAGCTGCAGTTTTGCTTATGCTGTTTGCAATTAGCTTCTGAGGCTGACTGTGTTTGATATGCTTGTCAGTTAGCATTCACGGGCCTTGCTGAGAATATATCAATGCTTGCCCCATCCTTCCCTCTCTCAAGTTTTGTTTCTAGGGACTAACCTACATTTTCTACAGAATCATGCATCAGGGAGGCTATGTTCAAATGCTTCTCCCTTGGGTGCTACACGGAATTTCAAATACGTTCCATGATGGATACAGCATCAAAAAAATCTCTTTCTAAAGTCTGTGTTGAGACTGATCAGGAAGGACTGTACCATATAATCCTGCCATAATCCCACACACATTTAAACAGAAAGAAGGTCTTCATTTCCCAGCATCCCCAGGAAAGCATTGATGTCTGCGGCATTCTGAGAGTTCCAGGCCTTTTCTCTGTCTAAACAAGCATTGCACTGAGCAGTAAGAGACTTTCTTAATACACTCCAAATTGTTTCACTGCAGGAACATCTTTATCACTAGGAAACTGACTCTCTATTTCTGGAAGCTGTTCTATTGGGATACTTTCTCATTCTCCTATTAAATGTTTGACATGCGTTATGAAACACAGGTGTGGTCATTGCCCACCTCTTTTTGTACAAAGAAGTCACTTTTATTGTGTTACATCTAAATATCAAGGTTTTCATTAATTCTGAGGGAATTGTTCAGATTATAATAAAAGGGTCAGCCATGCTAAGTGCATTCCACTATGCAGAATTGCCTCGTTCTTTCTGTCATGCAGAGTTTGGGAAAAGGCACGAACTGTTCAGCTACACCATAAAAAACAGAATATTAAGTCAGCACCTTTGGAAAGCAGCTTTAGCAAAGCCGGCATCTGGGTAGCCATGGAAACCACAGCACCTTCAGACTTTCACACTGGATGAGAGCTGAACTATTCGTTAGAAGGCCTGCTGTGTTTGTACAATGTTCCTGCTCCCTCATGTGGGCTCAGTTCATACATTACCAGAACAGCGTGATTCTGTACCCCAAGAGACCCCCATATTGTCTCAGCAGCATCCGACACATCCATATTGTGCGTGTTGTGTGTTTGCAGGGGGAGGGAAGCTGCATGGGGCAATGCTGGACCTTGCAAGCGTTTCAGTGGTGGCTAAGTCTTGCAAGATGTTGTTTCATTGTGCAGTGTCGGAGTGGCACGCACTGCATGGGAAATGAATGAACCAGGCCCTTAAAATGCAGCATGAGTAGCGTCAGAACTGCATGAGAATGAATACATAAATATAAATAGAAGCGGACTCCTAATGCTAACACAATGCTCTGCAAAGGCTAGTGTTTGACCCAAGGAGTTGCATTCATGTGCAAGTATTCCTTAACCGGGCCCTGGAGAAGCTTCCTTGGAAGAGGGAGTCCAACACTCAGAGTCTTTGCCAACTGGAGCCAGTTGTATCAAAGTCAAGTGGTCCCAGCCACCTTTCTTTTGTCAGGACTGACCTTACAAATCTCCGTGGCCACCAGCATGCTGAGGCAATTAAACCAGTTGTCATAGGCCTCCAGATTATAGGTCTTCGTAACATCACCTCGGCACTGGAAAAGAAAAGGTCACATTTTGTATGTGGATGAGACAGCAGTGGAGAGAAAAAAGAAGAAGGAAGGAAGACCACAAGAGTTTCCAGTGAAATGCATGCACCCCTACCAAAATAATTTCAGTGAGCAGTTTCCAAATTGAGATACATGTAGCTGCTTGTAACTGGAACTTGCCTCTGGTATGAGTCAGGGGCGTGAAGGGATGCAACTCCCACCACCTAAAATTCCATCCCGTGCATTCATTTGCTCACTCTGTCACCCCCTCCTCCTACTATATTTTCTTCCCTGAGTACTGAGAAATGCAGGAGTATCCCCATTTCTGATAGTCTGAACAATTTACATGCATCACTAACAACAACAGCACTTTTTCTATAATTCTGAACCCTTTCTGGTGGCATCTGTGAAAGGAAAGGATGCCCACAGAGAGCGGCTGGGACACACAAGGAAATAATACAATCTCCAGTTTCTCCTCTTCTTCTAGTGGGTGCAAAGCCCTAAAATTCGTTCTGTCTGATTTAGGAGATCAGACAGTAGCCTCTTCAGTAGCTCTCTTTACCTTTGCTCTCACCCTACAGAACAATTGGGAGACCTAGAATTGCTTTTAACCTTGAAGAAAGGTTAAACATCCAACACTGTATAAAGCTTGTTGCCTGGAATGTTAAAGCTCAACATAATAACTGCTTGTGTGAATTATGATATTTAATCTTTTCTAGTTGTTGTGTCTAGACAGATTGCAGTCTTGCACCATGTCCCATAAGGGTTTCCTTGACCTCTGAATTCCATAATTGCTGAGTTGCAGAGAGGAACGGAAACGTCAGATGCCCTTTAGAAGTTCTCCCCGCCGCATGGGAGCTGCTCATGGCTAAGCAGCTCCCATCCCCACCCTCAGCTAGGGAGAACTCCGATAAGACACGAAAGAGACAACACAGAGGGAGAAGGAAAGCCGCTATTAAACTTTGCTGCAAAATTCAATTTTTGATTATCCCCAATGTTCAGAGCTCATAAAACATGAACGGAGAGAGAACGGCTCCCTGGGATGTCATTAGCAGTCCTGGACTATGGGTAAAAATATCCCAGAAACTTCAACTGGTAAAGACCCAAGGGAGACTTAGCAGGGCCTCTCCTCTTAGCCTCTCCTATCAACATACAGCTCTTGGTGCTCAGAAAAACTCCTAACTTAAGAGACTAAACCCACCAGGGTCTTCTTTCCCTATGCTTTGCATTCCACTTTCAGAAGAGCAAATAACTCGACTTGTGTCCTTCCCTCTTTTGTCCTGTGCTCCCACAAGTAGGAACTGTGTGACATCCCATTTGACATGGCAGGTCTAGGAACCGGCTCAGGATTTTAACACTTGAGACTAAATGCTGCACAGTGGCTGGGAAACGGAGGCCAAGTCTTTGGCCCAAGTTTCCCTGCACCCACCAACTTGTTACATGGTCTTTGTACATGGTTCACCCCATTTGCAATAAAGAGGAAATGATACCGGCTCAAAGCTGGTGGGAGAACAACTGTGCTGAATCACTAGAGGTGCTTTGAAGAGGTCAAAGCGCAAAGTCAGAGCTAACTGCTGTTAGCATTAACTCTTGGGCACAGCCTCAGCAGTGTCCAAGAGCAAAGGGTACAGGCAGGCAGATTACTATCCTTAAACCAATCTATCTTGCTTCCCCAGCTGAAAAGACAAGTCAAAATTATACTATTGCCCTCTTATTTTTCTACTATCTCACAGTGGAGGAGGGTTAAAAGCTGGAAAGATTTTTTGGGATCAAAGAGAGGAGTGTTGAATCTAGCTTTCTGTTTTCAATGGAGGCCAAGCAAGTGCCTTCAGAAACTTCCAAGCAGAGCATGGAAATGTTAACGTCTCCCTATTACTTTGTCCCAAGTGCCTGACATTCAGCAGCATCTTGCCTTGAAACTTTTAGCTCCCATGGTTAAGAGTCAATGATAGAGCAGTTCTCCATAATCTTTTTTTTAAAGAGCTCTCTAAGCTGGTGGCCCATCACTTCCTCCGGCACAAAAATGGCACCACCTCTGGAAGTGGCCACCCAAAGTGGACTTCAGTACAGCAAGCTCAGGCTGCTGCTGGTTCCAATAGAAGAGCCATAACTGAAGGTCTTCTTAGTCAAACTGGAAAGTTAGTTAAAAAATGTAAAAGTGCCGTGACTTTCAACTCCCACGTCCTCTTTCTCAGCCTCAAATACAATTATTCTTGTGATCGCCCTTTCTCCTTCCCAAGGCCATTCCGTCCATGCTGCACACACCTTGTGGTTATCCAGGGAGTCCATGTGGCTGACGATCTGCATGAGGTCCTCGGGATAAATGTTGCTCACTCTCTCCTGAACGGAGCAAGACAGAAAAGATGGTCAAAGACTACAAGCACGCATCCTGCATGGCCACTGTGGTTCACTGCTTTTCATCATCGTCTGCTTGAGAGATGATCAAGCAGTTTCTACTTTATCATGGTTTCCATCCTCCCCACTCAGTCCCCCCACTGTTGGCATGTAATCCATCAGCCCTTGCGCCTGAGGTTCAATCCCATGGTGCATTACACCCTTCTCCACTGGTCTCTCGCCCACCCTTCCTTCCTCAGCTCCTGCTGCGTGCCAGGAAGGAGAAACAGATGAGCCCCAAAAGGCACCGAGGCAGGATGGCCATGCCCAACTTGGGCCCCTCGAAATGTCTTGGACTCCACCTTGCATCAGCTCCAGGCAGTGTGGCCAGAACACCTTCTAGGCCCCAGGTCAACATCCACAGCCGCTGTGCGGGGGGAAATGGGCATGGAACACAAGTTGACTGGGCCTGCAGAGATACAGGCCCAAAAAATTTCTGCCTTCATTATGTTCTCCTAGGCACCACATGTATTTGTGTGTGCCCTGCTCTGAAATGCAGGGTTCAAAAGAATTACAAAAACAGTCATGTGCTTGGTTTCTTTTCTTTTGATCTTGATAGGTTACTCCTTTCAAGGAGGCTCGCAACATATATTAAAACAAAAACATTGCAAATGATAGTGTCATAAGCTAAGCCAGAAAAGCCTTTTGTGGCACCATGAAGATTAATACATCTTTACTGCATAAGCTTTTATGGACCATAATCTGCTTCAGCAGATGCGTGAAAGGTTATGTCATCATTAATAAATATATTAGTCTTTCAGATGCCACAAGACTGTTTGTGCAAGAGACCTCCACAGCCACCCTTCTGGAAACCGTCAGCTAAAACACACCAACACGTTTAATATGATAACAGCAGCAGAGGAAAACACATATCGAAGTTGGCAGCAGAAATAGTACTTTGCTTTAAAACCTGCATGAAGGGTGTGGCTGGACTGAACAGCTGAAGTACCCAATAGCAGGATTGCAAAGACAGAGAACTTCTGGTGTCATCCCTGACTTCTCTCCCCCTCCCCTCCTCTTGAGATATTCCAGGGCAGGGACATGAATTTGAAGTGTAGTCAACCTTTAGCAGAGACTGAGGGAACCAGAAGTTGATCAGTTGTGCGTAGTTTGGGTCCCTCCAGTTCTCACGGGTGTCTAATTTCTACAACAGCCACACTGCCTTCTTCCTTTACCCCCCTCCACCCTTGGAGTCAAGCATTTAGCTGTTCTGTGAAAGTAATCCTGGGGCAACGTTTGCTTGGACCTGCCACTTCTTCAGGTAGATGGAAAATGAAGGAGTGGACAACTACCGCCTCACTCACCAGTTCAATATGTGTTAGTTGTTGCGCAAGGACCAATGGGTCACAGCAAACACTCAAGATGTCCTTCTGCGATGATGGAGGCTTTGTTTTAAGGATTGTGCCTTTGTCAGTCACAGGTTGGCGGAACTTTTCCCGGATCTCTTGGTACTGGTTGCGTGCGGCGAGAGTCACCAGCAAATTCTGAGTCATTTGGCTGATGATCTTCTTGACAGTTCCATTTTCCTAATCCATAAAGCAGAATAATTTTTGTTGAGGATGCTGCTAATTTGATGATTTGATGGCTTGGATTCTGCAATTCAGCGTCAAATATGTGTTGCCTGAGCTCTGAACTCTCGTGTATTTTCCCTGAGCACTGGAAAGGCTTTTGCAGGTAAATTATTTTATCATTCAAGTCTGCGTAGAATTAAGACACCGACTCAAACGATTCTCATTAGCCTACTGACTTTCACAGCTGAGGACTGTTCCAAACTCAAAGTCAAAGCTGACTGACAGCTAGAACTACTAGCTCTAAGAAACCTTTATGTTCAGCTTTAATTATCTGAATGATGGCTTCCCAAACAGAAGAAGCAGTGTATCTTCCTTGCACCACTTACTGATTAAATAAAACAAGTATTATTAAACATAAGGAATTCAGCTTGGCATAGGCGATCTTTTGACTATAGAATGAGCCAATAAACAACAACAAGATCAATAACAGCATGGGAACTGAAAAAAGGGAAGGGGATACGGATGCATGTGTAGAAAATGAAGAAGAAAATAATAGGACACCTGTTTACTTCCAGTTAGGCTGGGCCTCTGAGATTTTCATGTAGGAGTGATGTGTCAAGCCATATCCCAGTGACTTTAAATCAGAACAATGTATAAACATTCCAGGATTCAAGCTGAATATTCAAGAATAACCAATTGCAATTTGGAAAATCCCAAGTTCTGAAAATTGTATGCCTGTTGTCGTGACTTTGCTTGTTGGAGGGGACGTCAGAGAACGCCGCTTTCCCTGCTAAGACGGCTACGTGCAGTCCAGCTAAATCCCCCCGCTCAGGTTTCACAGCTGCGCATAAGGAGGCGGGCCATTGCCCCAAGTGGATGGGCATGTTAAACCTTCCTCACTGATGCTGACTCAGCTTCTTGCTCAGTTCAGCATGCGGTCACAGACCTTGGTCAACCAGTCATCCCACCTGCGTGGACTTGAACGTCTCTCAGCCTTACTCTAGGATTCTTCATTTGACTGCCAGTGCAGTACACTTGGCGCCACTGCGAGTTGTCGAGATCTCTGGCATTGCTGGTGTCTTAGTTTATTCAGGCAATAGCTAAAAGCATCTCTTCATACGTCACCCTACAGTCTTCCAGCCAAACGACACAGGCAGTGCCTGCAAGTTTCTTGAATTCTGTTACTTGAAAGCTAACTTTAAAAAATATCAAGGACAGATTGGAAGAGTATAAACATCTCTTATGCCATTGCCTGATATTCTATTAGCACATGCACAGGTAAGCACAAAAGAGTGACAAATAAAAGCATTTGTTAAATGGTTTGGCCGTTCCATTTCTCGGGAACAGCACCTGCTCATCTGTCACACTGGCTGAAAGGGTTATTGTGTGGCTGGAACTAGAACTGCAGCAGAAGTTGGCAATATAGAGACTGCAGGACCATGTATGGATTTTAGGCTTCAGGAAGGAGTAACGCGTTTAATGCTTCCCCACGCAGAAAAATATCCCTCTCCACAAGTTAAAAATTAGGTCATCAGAGAGGAAGGCTCCAATCCAACTCTGTACCTCTCATGCTCTCAGAATGATCGTTTCCGTTCTGCTATCTTTGCTACATGTGCAAATCCAGACCTGGTGCCCAATTCCATACAACAATGACTTAATTCATGATTTCATCCACAGATACTTTGCAATTCTGCCCCAGGGGATGCTGCATGTTTGAGATATTCAGCCACAACAGTGGGTGTGGAATTTTCAAAACATGGGATTTTCCCAATGGCTATTTGATATTATTACATACCAAGCTTGAATTCTTGAATAACTGCATATTGTTTCCATTGAAAGCCACTGGGATTTGGCTTAACGCATCACTCCTACATGAAAAGCCCAATGGCCCAGTCTAGAACATGGTTCCTACTGGAATTAAGAAGGTGGCCTTCTATTATTTTCTTCTTCATTTTCTACACTTATTATTCACTTATTTAACATCTAGACTGCCCAAAAGCCAAAGCTCCCATAAACTCATCTCCTCTTCCTCAATTACATATTTTATCAGTCCCCGTGCTACTGTTGATCTTGCCCTTTTATCAACCCATTCTAAAATTAAAGAAGATTGCCCATCCCAAGTTGATTTAAATATCTGCAATAATACTTTTTGCTTTGAAAAGATAGCACTCAATAAGTGAAGCAAGGAAGATGCGGTGCTTTCTCCAGGTATGGGCACCAGCACCCAGATAATTAAAACAGAACATAAAAGAATTGTTTTCTTTCAGGATTTGAAAGAACATGCGCACAGGCACACGCTGCTAAAAGTCAAAAGAATAATCTTGATCACATCCTCCTGCCTTCAGGCTGTCACGTCTTAATGACACGGAGGTGAACAACACTGCTGACATACTGAAACTTGTCTGACTACTCTTGACAACACCTCGAACTGCTAAGCCAGGGCTCATTATTCTGCAGTGTTGTTAGAGCAACTGCTCTCCAGTCTTTCGCCACTGCATTGTTTAACAAACACATTTCCAGCATTCTTAAAGCTCTGGAACCCATCTCAGAATATATTCAGAAACATCCTTTTTAAAAGATAAGCTCCTTCATTTTCTTCCCCATTTATGTTACGTGGCTGTGTGTCTATACACCACTTTATGTGAGCTGCATCATCCTCTTGTAGAAATGAGCATTCCTGCCCATTCAGGGCCCTACAAAGCATTAAATCTCCATTGCGCAAGCAGTAGGGGCTCTTTGTGCAAAGGAATCAGTGGGTTGCTGTTGGATTCTGCCCATAGAGAGCCCCACGGCAGCTTTGGGTTTCTTAGTGCCTATGGGAAGGACATCTACTGTATAGACCATTGAAGAAATGAATACGGAATCCCTGAGAGGTTGAGGAACTAAGCCCTCTGCTCTTCCTATTCCTCCTAGGTCCTAAAATTTTGGACAGGAGATGGTCAGTCCTTGTTACTCCTCACGGATGTCTAGCAAACAGGCTTCTGGTATTTTCAACCTGACAAGGTGCGTGATGGCTCAGTAGCAGCCATGGCAGTGCTTTCACCAGTGGGACTGTCTTCTTCCTTACCTCATCACACTGTGTAACCCTGCAAGCAATTTCCTTGAGTTCTTTCATAGATTTCTCATCCTGGAAGTCATAGGGGAATGTTTCAGTCCATTCCTTCAGGAGCTGAATGATCTTGGCAGCAAAGGACTTCAGCTTCGCCTAGTAAAGGACACAGAAAGGTTAATAGACTCTTCGGAGAGCGACCCTCCTTGACCTTGACTTTGGGTAACTAGCTAATGCCCCAGTGGCCAAAATGCTGGATCATTAAGAGGGATGTGCACGGAAAGAAAGGGCAGCTGAAGCTGGAGTGGGCCAGGGGAGTGGCTTGTGGCATTTTTCAGGCAGGAGAATGGCAGGCAACACCACAGCCAGGGGGCCTCTCCTCTCTTCCCCCTTTTTAACTTTAAACATGCTGTGCTCCAGATTCGGCTGAAGACTTTTTTGGGCCAATCCTCCCCATCCTGCTACATGCCACTGGGAGAAAACCAGAAGGTCAGTTCCGACAAGCTCCCTCGGCTCTTGGACAGTGATGGAGCAAGCCCGTGAGAACAGCCACAGCTCTACTCGGTGCTGCAAAGCTGGCCAGGGATGCTCTGTGTCAGTGCTGCATCCACTCACACTTGCAGCTGCCTCCAGGGTCTGATGTCACAAGAAGTCACCAGCCAATTTGCTCTGCTCGTTGGCTGATTAGGCTTGTGCTCACCCATCCCCTCCCACCGCCTCACAGCTGACGAGCAGCGTGTCTATGGCACTCCCTGGGAATCCGTATCAGAGCAGCCAGGCCATTACAAATGCAAAGGCTGGAGAGATTCTGCTGGAGGCGTGCAGCCACTGCAAAGAGTGAATGAGACCGAGAGGAAATGGGGAGGCACGCGTGTTCACACGCCTTTCAGCAAAGAGCACTGGGCTAGCCTCAGCTGGCCTCACAAACCAGCTTCCTTCCTTTCACCCCCCCTCCCTGCCTGCTCTTTCTTTCTCTTTTTCTAAGCACATCACACAGCTAAACACAAACAGAGATCTCAGGTGCAGCTTGGGACATGGAAGAGTTTGTCCCAGTCAGATGTATGTGGGGGAGCTTAAGTGTCTCTGATCTCTACGCTGGGGGAAGGCAAATGAGGTCCATGGCTTGAAGCCAGCCCACTGGATTGCCATATCTGGGTTGCAGAAGGCTGAGAGCCTGCAGGTCCCCTCTCGAAACCCTGCCCCTGACTGCTCTGGCCTTCTAAAGAGCAGTCAGGGTTGCTCTCCTCTAGGACTGACTGGTTTGATTGCCTTGCAGTCCAAGGGACTCTCAGGAGTCTCCTCCAGCACCACAATTCAAAGGCCTCAATCCTTCATCGTTCAGCCTTCCTTATGGTCCAACTCTCATAGCCATACATTACAACTGGGAAATCCATAGCTTTTACTATATGAACTTTTGTCTGCAGGATGATGTCTCTGTTTTTTAGTAGGCTGCCTAGATTCGCCAGCCAGATATGTGTGCAAAGACAGTCAAAGATCAACTTGCAAATGATTCTTCCAGGTGCATTTCAACACAGGAGGTGTTCCAAAGAAAAAGCTTTATCACAGAAAAGGCTAGAGAGAGCTGGCCTCCCTGGCTTTCAAAGTCATAAGCAGTGCAATAAATTGGGCTTGGGAGCAAATTGATGGATTGGTTAAAAAGGGAAGGGCTGCCCCTTGCTGGTGCCACTTCTGCTCCTCCACTAAAAGCCCCCAGATGCTACTCCTGGCATCTCAACGTTGGGCTGGGAAAGACTGCGGCCTGAAATCCTGGCAAGCAGCTGCCAGTCAGTGTTGACAGTACTGAGCTAGATGGACCATGGTATAACTGGCTGGGTTCAGACAACACCACAAGCCATGATGGTTTTTAGTCTTTTGTGTTTCATATTTCACCATGATGAGCTTGGTCTGTAGAAAACACTGTAAGAAACAATGGTTTCTCCACACTACCATGGCTTGTGGTGTTGTCTGGACCCAGGATTGTGGTTCCCATGGTCCTGGCATGAAACTACCAGAGTCCTCTGAAAAGTGGCAATTGCAGGAGCTTCAGCCATCCAGACCAATGAGGAAGAGGCAGGCCACACGGGCAGTAAGAGATACACTTTGGGATTGGATTTCACCTCAGTGGCTGATGGGTCACATGCCCATAGTGGGAAGACTGAGTGGGTAGGATGGAAACCATGACAAAATAGAAACCACTTGATCATTTGTTAGTTAAACCATGGTAAAAAAACACACAAACCATGGGAACCATGCAGGATTGTCTGTCATGTTGTGTGAACACAACCACTGCATTCTTATGCTCCTCAAACCCATTTTAATATTTCTTCTTAAGATCCTCCGATTGGTACTAATAGTTTTAGATTAGGCAATAAGATTCTTGCGGTTTGACCCTGTTGTTCTTTCCAGCATCTTTCCAATGTGCATTCCTGCCCCTTCCCTCATATTGGAATGCACACGACCTTGAATGCGGCACTGATGAAGCTTCGTGAGACAAGGTAACTTCTGCAGATTTTTTGTTTATTGTTTTGGATCCAACGTCAGTGTTCAAAGAAGGACGTATTAGCAAGTCCCAATGGGGCATTGCTGGAGAGAGATGGAAATTATGCCTGCCTCATTAGTGAGTCATTTGAACTTCAGCTGTGCTCTGTAGGGTGGGGACTTCCCAGACCCTCCTTGGTCACAGTCTTATTCATTACTTCTAATGGCTCTTCCGTTGTTGTCAGTGTACCTTTTCATGCTGCTGGCCAAATGGCATTTAATTAAAATCTAGTTCTCAGCGAGAGGAAACAGTTTTAATGTTTGCTCTGTGCAGAAATGGAAATGATGCTACTAGGGCTGGTGTTTTCCTTTGCTTGTCATTCTGAGCAGATCAGCTGAAAAAGTTCCTGAAAGTTTCCCCCCACCCACCTCTGCCCCTCGCAAGCTGGGGAGAGTGTTTCTTCTGTGCTTTCCACCCTTGTCTGGAATTTACAGAGCTCTGGGAGATACCAAACAAGCAGGTTTCCCTTTGGGGGAACGAGGAAGATCCCGTCAGAGAATTTCCTCTGCAAGAGAATCCCCTTCAGATCCCAGCCCCTCCCCCCAAGTCTTTTTAATAACCCAGCTGCTCTTTATTGATTCTTAACAACCCACTAAAGCACAATCAGTGAGAGATGCAATTATTTGCTTGGGGTGTGAATTAATAATTGTATCGCTCAAGAAGGAAATTGTAGGAAAGAGGCACAGAGAAGGTCCAGAAGTAACTGACCTTTCCTACAACAGATGCAAAGTTTAAGGTAGGAATAGACCACTGGCAGTTCTTTGGCCAGATCCTGCCCCACACTTCTCAGGGCAAGAAGGATGTATAGAAGAATTGCTGGTGGAAGAACTGGCCGTTCCTAACATTATAAAGGCCCCATTCACACATGTATACACAAAGCCCTTACTTTGCTGTACTGGATTCCAAAACACTTGACGACTGGTAAGTGAATGTATCATTGATTCCACTGGCATAAACTAGAAACTGAAAGAGTCTTGAGGAACCTGAGTATGATACACTGGAACAACAGACATATTTTCTTCCTGTTCATGGCAAATGCTTGAAGCCCATGCAATTATGGAATAGTTTTAGTGAAGTGCAAATATTAGGGTGAACACCCAGTTGCTATTATAACAAAGAAGCTTTTGGGGAAGCAAAGTCTGTGCTAGAGAACATCTCCAGTACTTTTGCCCTGCCTTCATCTTTTGAAGTAATCATCAAGGCAGCAAACACTCAGGAATGGTCCATGATCCATTCAGAAAATGAACTGGCTTACAGAAGCATCCCATGGGCTTTGGGAGATTCCTTTGTGAAGCTGCCTTTGGCCTGAGCGGGATGCCAGACCCAGAAGGGAGATGCAGATATGGTAGCTGGGATCCATTTCATGATCTTTCATGTACACTTCCAAACCTGGCAATAAAGCTTTTCAGTAAGGAGAGTTCCTAGGAATACAAAAATCTGCCCGCCAGATTCTGTCCCAGTTCAGATGCTTGTTCCCAGCTTTATAACAAGCTAACCTGTGAGCTGCAAGCTTTAACAATAATTCTGTTTGCTCTCAATATCTCCAAGAGATCCTGGCAGCAAGCAGCGAAAAAGCACACCTTTGTTCGACTGGTCTGGGTGTGTGCAATGCAGCTGCTGCCAATCACAAAGCTTTTCCTGTGCTGCTCGCTCAGCCACTCGTCGGGTTCTAGCCTCGCTGTACTTCTCACTGGTTCCCCAAGTGGAACAATAGTAGGTTCCTTTCTGTTTTCTACTCTTATATCATCAACTTGCTTAGCAGCTCCCTGACAGATTTATTCAAACTTGGTAAACTCTCCTTGTCAAGCCCACAAAAGCCTCCCAAGTTGATCTAAACAGTGCCCAAGTTTGTTTTGAATCTGCCAGCTTGTTTCTTGGAACATTTTCTTGAGGTTTTGCTAGTAGCTGGTGACGTCACCGAAGTGGGAATGATAAGCATTAGAGCACATAACCACAACACAACCAGGCTTCTGGCCAGTATTTCTGCTCACACACTACTCAAACAGCTTTTGATTTCATACCATGTTTATACCTTCACGGGGGTGGATTAAAGTTCTCCAGGTAAGTGCACTTCCTTTTGCACTGCAGTAAGTTTTGACCAGCAGCATCAAAACTTTTTTTTTCAAATTTTCAAAATTTATTCTTCCTTAGTGTTTTTTGTAGGATTTAAAATGAGAAGCGCTCATGTGAAAAAAGAAGTTCCAGGATACACCATGCAGGGAACGTTATGAACCATTATAAATTACAAACCATCCAAGCACATTGTTCTATGAATACAACCCTGCCATTTTTCAGGATGCCCTTTAGGTTCCTGAACAAATATTTAATTCCCTGAGGTACATACACCTGGTACAAACATTTAGGGAGAAATTCATAGATGCCTATTTCAAGGAAGATACACGTGGTCATATTTATGGCAGTGTAACTGTGTCTGGAATGGAAACAGGCTTACTTCAAAAAGTTGCAGTGACAGTTCTCATATCCACAGCCATAGGATCCTGCCCATTCATGGCATAACAATTGGCAGGAAAGTTCAAATCATTAAGTACACCTGCAGCATGTTTGCAAGTGAATGGCAGGCAGAGGTGGAGACCAAGTCATTTGTCCCTTAAGCTTCTTTCTGGCAGTCAGAAGAACGTGCTGCACAGTAACTTCCAGGTTTCAGGTTGGGAAGGAAGAAGGTACACTGTGGGTAAAGCCAGGGAAAGCTTCGCCACCTACCTTGTCTGCTTCAACGACAGTTTCTAATTGCTGCTTCTGCTTCAGGCAGATTTGCCCCACTTTTGCCAGGAGCTCATGGGGATGAATGAAGACTCGGGAGCTCAGTAAGAAGGTGAAGATATACGTCCTCTGCATGGGAGAAATGAGGTGTGGGGAGAGAAGCGAAATGGGCCACATGAACAGGGGATACGTTTCAGAAAGATACGCTCCGACAATGGGCTTCTTCTAAGCACTCCACCCATGAGATCACATTGCTAACTACCATCCAAAATTACTAAACTTCTGAATATGTGTATTTGCATATGCTAAATGCCAGAAAAAGATACGTAATCAGGTTTCTGTTGGTGGTGTTAGTTCTTCCAAGGTTTCACCATACTTGTAGGGCCATCAGATGCTGTACACACTTGTGTGAACCAGACTCCATCAACAGGAATAAGGTGTGCTTCTAGTTTAGGGTTGCAGCCAATATAAATAAGTCCTAAATCTTTATTCCTTACAGTCAGTATGTGCTTCTCTCCTAAGAAGAACAGGATTTATCAATCCTGAATCTTTATGAAAATGTAACAATACTAAGGCTATGGTGCTATGTACACTTACTTGGGAGTAAACCGTACTGAACGCTATGGGCTTTAGTTCTAAGTCGGTATGCACAGAATTATGTTGTGGGAGGCTGTTACTACATTCCTGGAAAGTAACTTCTAATGTAATATAAGGGCATGAAAGTGATTGTGGGAAGGTTTAGCTGAGCAGGTTTTGGAGAAGTTAAACTAAACTTTCTCATAGTACAGATGAGAATCATTAACAGAATAATTCCTGAAGAATCTCTTCTAAATTGCTGGATCCTGGGAGCCCATGCCTTTGCTCAGCAAAGCCATAAACTCCCCATTCACCAGACCTCACACGTGATGCCCTCTCTGACTCCTCAAATTTCAGTGAATGAGGATTTGTTCTTCTTCTGGTCCCACAGTCAAACCCTCAATAAGATACTCAGTGGATATTTATTTTGCCCCCTTCTGTAGTTTCAGAAGAAATGCACAGTGGTTGTGAATTCTTTCCTCCAAGTTGCTGTAGTGCTAGACTAGATCAGGAGAAAACTGAATTTTGGACACAGACACCAGAAAACATGCAAAAAATGGAACTGGAGAATCTTTCGAGTATTGCTTGCAATGAGAGGATGCAAGGAAGTCTCTCAGAACATTGCGTGTCTCTCAGAGCATTGTGTGTCTCCTCTGAACCCCATTATTATTTTTTTCAAAGGTATGCAGAATGTTCCAAAGGTTAAATTTAGCTTATTTCCAAATAAGTTAATGCTGACCTTTTGGGAGTTTTGTAGCCTTTAAAAATAATATTCTTAAAAGAAAAAATCAGCACCTGCATTGGGTGCAGGGAGAAGGGGTACAGTCCAGAGGACACTGTTCTTCCAGTTTTTGCTCACTGCAGGATTCTGGGAGCTGAGATTCGGGAAGGCTCCTTTCTGAGCCAGGGGTGCGAATTCCTCTTGCATCATTGTGGGAGTTTCTGACAGTTTCATCATCTGCAGCCTCTGTATGGCGTGTGTAATTTAATCCCATGTTATCCCATCAGCCACTTAATATATCAAGCTGAAATATATCAAGCTTGTCGTTGTGAGCCATCCCAAGGCTATGTAGCAATGGGGATGGCAAATAAAAACTTTAAATAAAATAAAATAAAATAAAATAAAATAATAATAATAATAATAATAATAATAATAATAATAAATAAATAGAGTGTCCGGCCCAAAGTTACCCAGTGAACTTCATGACTCATCCAGAACTGCCACCAAAATCCAACCCTCTTATCCTTTATACCATGTAGCAGGCTGTTATTGCTTTCCTTTCAGGAAGAAGCCATTTCCCATCCATTTCCAGTCAGTGCAAAGAGAAGAAAAGAGAAAGTGTGTTACTTTGGAGAGGCTCTTAATGGTCCCCTTATTGTTAGGTTCCCAAAGTATTTGTTGTCTCAAAATGTCACAGAAAATCTACACAAGGAGCTATAATCAGTGGAAGAATAAAATGGGACAAAAAGGCACTTTTTTCAGTTCTGCCACATTTACTGACTTGCTTTTTGACATTTCCTGTTAATTTGTTTTTTTTACTCACAAAAAGCTTCGGTACGTCCTTACCAAACCAAAGCCACACTGCCCTTTCACATATGTTGTTGTCTTTTTTCAGTTTTTAAAAATGTCTGTGCATTCTTCTGTCCCCAGTTTTTAGTTCAGGCCTCTTGCAAGGATTTCATAAGATGGTTAATGAACATTTGCATAACCTTCAAACTTCTGATTAAAAGCTGTAGATGAAAATCCAGCAGGAGATTCTCGGGCATGAGTCCCATAGGAGTGAACGAGAACTTTGCAGAAACAGTATCTATTGACTCATTTCATGAGCAGTTTGCTGGTATGCACCCAAGGATCCTGAATTTTTCTTCCAGCTGGAAATGGCCATGTTTAGAACTGGACCTCACAAACTTGACAGTGTATTAATTCTCTAAATAGTTTAAATATGCTATGATTTAGAATCCAGTTTTTAAAAATAGCATTGTGTTTTGCAGTGCAATCCTATGCACATCTTTTCCAAGGTAAGTCCCACTGAATTCAATGGGTCCTCCTTGCACATAAGCAGGTAGAACATAAAAACCTTAGATTGCTGCAAACTTCAATATTTTTTCCAGGTACTGCACTTGTTAAGGATCTCAAAAACTGAGTGGGGTAGAACTGAGCATTTTGGTATTAATAAATGATCCTGGTTTCTTCTCCATAGGGTTAATGTTATTATTTCAACAACCAACTATATGTTGGACTGAACGCCGATGTCGCTCTGCTTTCAGTAAATGTGTCCAATTGTAACACATGATTCTCTGAATCACTTTGCCCACAACATCAGCCCTTCCAGTTAATTTGGATTTCAACTGGGAGATTTAGTTCCACCTGTAAGACACCAAGATGGGGAAAACTACAATATATTAGTTTGACCTCACACTTTCTCTCCCCCACTTATTACCACACAGAGGAGTTGCTAATGCATTAGTCACTTGCACCAAACCAGCAAAAAATCCTGTGGCATCTTAATTAAAAGCTGGCAAATTTATTGCCGCCATTGAGGTGGACTTCTGTCCACAAATGCTCATGTTACAATAAATCTTTTAAGGGGCCACAATACTTCATGTTGTTTTAGCTAACGGGGTGAAACATGCAACCTTCAAAAAAACAGAGTAGCCAATCATGAAAATCATGATATTTTCATACTTAGCAGGAAAAATGCCATTGGGTACAACCCAATCTAAGTCTTACCTAGAGAAGACCCAAGGAAATGAAGGGGGCTTAAATCCCATTAGTTTAATAGGACTACTCAAAGTAGAATTTAGAGTGGATTCTACCCCTTGGGCTTCATGTGGAGAGAACAGCATCTTGGGAACAGAAATGATCAATAGGTGAATCAAAGTCTATTGGAGTGTTGAAATTCCTTAAAGTTCCACCCTCTGCACTAATTCTAGTTTAGGTCTGTGTAAAGCAGGATATGGAGATATAAAGCAGTTCTGACTCCTGTCAGAATCCAGGCTCTTCAAAGGCTGTGAGATGACAGACACGGATAATCAGGGCTGTTAATGCTGAGAAGGTCACTGATATCCATATTTATCACCATCAGAGAGGTTTCCAAAGACATCAGACTACGATGCTTAATAAGGAAATCAGTGCTTTTAATTTTTAATCTAAAGAACTACATTATTCTTTTTATTACTGCACAGAAAACATGGGAAATGTTCTACAGTATACATTCAGGCAGCATAAACTTGCTCAAACGCAGCCACATTGGATGGCTTTGAAAGACAAGTTGGTGTCTCATTCTTAGATCTCATATCTACACAAAGAATGATTTTGCCCAATGTCACATGGACATGTTCGTTCTAATGTTCTTGATGCATGCATGTTTTGTGCAAAAGTTTTCAAGCCCATGTTCCCCCACCCACCACCATCTGAGGCCTGAAAAAGAACAACCCAGCATAGTAAGGATTTTGCCATTGCAATGAATGCTTGCATTGGTCGGAGCTAACTTCCTGCTAGCGTGGTTCTGTACTGAAACCAATATGTTTTGTTTTCCACAGACATTAATTAATGGCTAATGTGATGTTCCCGACTTCTTACGCTTAGAGTGTTTGCAGGCCACAGAAGCATGTGTGGCCAGGTCCCAGGCACTAGAGTGCAGAAATACTTGGGAAACCAAACATTTTTGTAATCAAAAACACATGCCTGCATGCAAATATCATGCAGCTTAATGGGTTAGAAAGCTTAAGAGGTTAGAAAGTTAGCAGGATTCAGTGCTACTCAAAGCAAAGCCATTGCATTGAGGCAGCAATGCGAGGCAGTGTCTGGAATGCTGTTGGGTGTGAATATGGGAAATTCAGGCTTAAATTCCCATTCAGCTAAGGAGCTTATGGTCCAGGCCCTTGATGAGACTTTCTCTTTTGGCCAAATTCTCCTGGTCAGGTAACCATGAGTCTACAACTTTACTGCGATCTGCTTGGAAGAACGGCAGAAGCAGCAAATCCACAGATCTAGTACATTTCTGAACTGCAGCAATTCAGAAGGCAGGCTAGGGAGTAATGGCTGGAAGACACCCCTGTATCAAAGTCCAGCTTGCCTTCCTTAATATGTTAGCTTCCATGTGCATGGGGGTTTTTATGTGGGGATATTTTTAAGGGGGGCCTCCTCCGTGCATGGTGAGCTGGTGCATTCCTTGGAGAAAGAAGCAACGCATGCCCTCTTAGTGGATCCCCCCTGAGAAAAGGCAGAAAGTGGATTAAACTGATGAGAGGGCATTGGCTTAACCTTTCTAAAGAAATACAGTGTGTCACCTCCAGAAGCAGGGGCAAGAGAGTTCAGACATGTATGCACACACATCCACCCGCAGCGTGAAGTGCTGCAAGCAGGCAGCTTGAAAAGCGTTGCTCCAGAAGCCTACAAAATTAAGAAGAACCAAGCCCACTCTTGTAACTCTATGCCAGCTTCCACACTGCCTAAAAGCAATGCACACCCACGCACTGTTGCAAATTATGCCACACCCGCAAAGTTGCATGCAGATTATTGATGCTGTTGATACTCTGGATGTGGCTGTCAGGAGTTTGTTTCTTTGTTTGTTCGTAACCCCTGGAGAACCTAGCCTCTCTCTGAATAGGCAAGTGGGGACCTAGCATCCTTTGTCTGCTCCCTATATAGCTCTGATTCCAAAGATTTCCCTGTCCCATCTCCACTGTGATTTGCAGGGGAAAGGTGGTGCCTCCAAGAATTTGGGCTGCTGCCTTTTCCCCTGGCTATTCATACTATAGTTCCACCCATCAGAAGCTCCTCCCTTCATGCCATAGCCCATTCACACCACAGTCCCATTCACCAGAAGCTCTGCCAGAACCTCCTCCTCCATAGTGAAATGGAACAGCTCAGGTTCAGCCACAAGTATAGTCTCAAATGTGAGTTGCTTGGAACAAGCCAAAGAGGAAGGCTGTGGCTGCTGTTTGTGCTCGCAAGCTTACCTAAGGCGTCTGACTGGTGGCTCTGGATTCTGTGCAGACCCTTGGAGAGATCAGCCCAACATCACAAATAAGTGTAAGCTGGAAGAAGTGGCATCTGAGCACGAGGCCTCAAAGCTCAAACCACCCCTCTGCTCGTCCATTTGCTTCTGCAAGGGAGCAGCTGTTTCACAGGGAGACTGAGCGAGGTGCAGCGTGCCCAAGAGGCAGTCTACTGGATACCAGAAGGACTTCACCCCAAACACCAACTCCTCTCAAACAATTTCTCTACCAGCTCGGTGCTCCTCAGTCTATCCCCAATTCTCACTTCCTTAGGAACATAAGCGGACTCTTGCTCACTTGGATCAAATGCCTTTCCCATCCATCGTTATTTGCACCATGGCCAACAGGATGCCCAGTGAGACATGGATGCAGAAGCTTCACGGAAAACTGGCACGACGCTTCTGATTCCCCCTTCTCTCCCGGTTTGTTTCCCCCTCGGCTTCCTCCCTCTCAGTCACCTTCCCCATGTGTCAAAGGACAGCTCAGGACAACTTTGTCTCCTCGTCCATGTCCTGTGCAGCCCGATCCTCCGGGATCTCCGCTCCCATTTTCCCAGCTCCTTCCAGCAAGCTGCTGAAAGATGCCGGAGAACAAAGCTGTGGTCATGGGAGAACAGGGCAGCTGGCCAATCAGCAGCCACCCCACCCACTTTGCCGGCCTCTTCCACGGTTTGTGTCCCTAAAGCCCCAGTACATACGCAGTGCTGGAGCCCCATCCACAGAGGGACTGCACACAGTGCTTACACTTTGAGACCAGCTCAGGGCTGGACAATCTGTCCAGAGAGTAAAGCTGCACATGGTGTACTGGAGAGAATCAGAGGAAGGGCTATTTTCGTGGCCTGTGATGAACAGAATTTGAATGCAGACACGCATTCCGCAGGGAGGGCGCTTAACGTCCCGCATGCCTCTTAAGCAGGCTGCCCTTAAAAGGGCCAAATGTGAGTCAGCCTTTGAAAAACGTCGATGGATAACCTTAGAAATGGTAAGAGCTGAAAAATGATTTGGAGCCTCTTAAAAACAAGTCATAACGTTTTGTTTCTTAAAATAGGTTGCACATCATATTTTCAAGTGCATCTTCAGCCAAGAAGCAAGAACGGGGTTTGCAGGAAGAAAAAGCCTTAGGCAGCTTAGGACCTGGAGTGCCTCTTCTTAACAGCCTATCCTTATTGATCCTTAATAACCTAGCTGGATATTAAGTAGAGGGCCTCATTAGGGTGCTGTTAGCCAGGAGTTTGCTTCACAGCAATGCTTACACCCCAACTGTGGAACCTCTTAGAGGGTTTGTACCCAGTCTTTTACCTTCAGCACTAACTAAAGTCCCAATTTGCTCACCCAGGTTTTTGTATGAATGCGTTTTCCTGCATTCTGTAAACTGTTTGTTATCTGCGTGTCTGTTTTCCTGTTTAATTGCTGTTCTTGGGTAGAGGCATCATTCCTGTATGATTCCATTATATTGTATTGGCTGAATCCCACTTTGGGATTATTTTAGAATGAAAGGCTTGAGAGACAGTGTGGTGTAGTGGTTAAGAGTGTGGGACTGGGACTCAGGGGGTCTAGGCCCCACTCGGTCATGGAGCCCACTGGGTGACTTTGGACCAGTCCCAGATTCTCAGCCTAACCGACTCTTCTTCTTGTGAATATAAGATTGAGAGGAGAAGGAGAATGATATAAGCTACCTTGAGCTCCTTGGAACAAATCAGATAGGATATACGTATAACAAACAGGCAAACAAATAAATAAAAACTTGCATAAACAAATAAATGTTGCTAGACCATCCTTGTATTGCAGGTACAAATGGTTGTCCCATATAAAAACAAACAATATGCAGCATTGTTTGTGAAGAAAGCAACTGAGTCCAGCAAATCCTAGAATGCTTTCTCCTATCAGACTAGATTTTACAAAGGTGTGAAGTTTTTTAAGGGGGGAAACATTCATCCCTTGGCAACAATGTGGGGTGCTCAGAACATGGTCCTACAAGGCTGCTGATCAAAAGGCCCAACACTTAGACCCAGAGTCACTTCAGGGGTGTGATCTCTGCCAATCCGTAGGCCCCATTCATATGGAGTATCATTTGTGTAAACCAGCACACACCCAGAAGCTATGGATGTGGTTGCCATGATTTTTGTGATTTTAGCAACACTTTACCAGCTGCAGTAATTGTCCAAGCAAGGGAACGTCTTTAACTTTGGGTCTGGAAATTATGCCCATCATTTTTCCAGAAGCCAACAGGGATTTGGGAAAGGGGGGGGGGGGAATCCCAGAAACCTTTAGAGCTCCCTAAGATGGTACCAAAGGAGGCGATTTGAAGAGCTAAAATTGGAAAGATTTAAGTGGATTCCTATAGCTCCTAAACTTGTTGCTAAGAGACATGTTGAATTAGAGGAGGGAAGAGAGTAAAAGACAGGACTAAAATAGTAACTGTTACTTAAAGACCAAGAATGTGGATCTACTGGAAAAGGAGGAAAAATATTTTTCCCTTCAGTTCATGCTGCTCCATCTGAAACACTTTGAATATTTGCAGAAAAGATTGCTTGCAATGGACATCACGGGTTGCTGTAAAGTACATTCCATTCCTAACCTCCAGAAAGCTGTCGTCTTGTGAGCACACATATTTCCCTGTATGCAAAACAAACCCTTGCATGCAAACAAGCCTCTGTGGAATGGCACGTAACTCTGTCTTTCTCCTTCCCCACCTCCCTTTTCTTCCACTCCCCAGCATGACTGACAAAAATTCTTGCTATTTCAAAATGAAGCTTTCCATTTATTTTCTTCCTTAGCCTGCCTAGAAAGTTATAGTGGTTTATATACAGATTCAGCCTCTGGCCTGCAAGGAGTAAAGTGCCATTTTAAACATCCTTAACAGTCAAACGTAGAACACAAAGATGCTTTATCCCCTGCTAAGCCACATCCCAAGTTTCCAACATATTTTGGATGAAGATACGTTCAGCTTTTTGTGAGATAAGCTCCATTTCTGCACAGTGGCATTCATGAACGAATCACTTGGAGATACTGTGGTTAGCATGCGGCATAACTAAATTCTCAGAACGTCTATCAGTTCCATGCTGCACAGAAAATGCATTTTAAAAACATCAGCTGCAACAAATCAGCACCTATACTGTTATTGGAATACAGTTCCCCAATATTGTTGACTTATCTATCGTATATATATATATTGGTGTGGCAAAGTTTATCCTCATAACGATTAGATGAAGCTGCTGAGAGACAATGACTGGCCCAAAGTTGCCAGCTAAGTGCCGTGGTTGACTCAGGGTTACAATCCCATTTTCACCATCCAAATTGAAACACTGTAAACTTCAAATGTCAAAATGCAGCATCTACTAACCCTCATTTAGGAAGATCTGACCACCAATGAAAAAAGCTAATAACTCACCCACCAATCAACCACCCCTTACTGTAGCTGCTTTCTTCAGTGCGAGCCCATACTGGTTTTCTACATTTGTAGTGGCATGGTTTCCCCCAAATTATGATTGAATCCTAGAATGATAGAGTTGCAAGGGGCCATGAAGGCCATTGAGTCCAACCCCCTGCTGTTGCGGGACACCATGTTACACCATCCCACTCAGATGACTGTCCAGCTTCTCTCTGAATGCCTCCAGTGTGGGAGAGCCCACCACCTCTCTAGGCAGCTGTTCCACTGTCGTATTGCTCTGGCAGTGAGGAAGCTCTTCCTGATGTCCAGCCTGGATCTGGGTTGTCACAACTTGAATTGATTATTCCATGTCCTACACTCTGGCATCAGCAAGAAGAGATCTTGATCTTCCTCTCTGTGATGCTGAGGACTGCTAAGAACGCCCTGTCAGAGATCTTCATCCCCACAAATAACATCTCTCTTCTGGAGAGAGAAGATGGATCCACCAGTCTAAGTCTGTGCTACAGAGATGCTTCAATGAAACACACAAATGAAAAATCTCCCCCCAAAGCAGGGTATTCTTGCTGTCTATAAATACCAGACATAAAAGGAAAGGGGGTCAAGCAAGGACAAATTCATGACTCCCCTCAACAATCAACAACTGCTCATCTCTTGGGGGCCTCTGGCAAGACACAAGCAAGACCACAATTGTCTACTTACATCTGGGTAATATTCTGTGGTGGGCAGCAGGCGCTCGATGAGGACCTCCAGTGAGCCGGAGATGAGACTGCCATCCTGATAAACGGGATCGCCACTCCTCTCTCCCGTGTCTGGCTGCACCTGCCCGCTACATCCGGAACCAAGCATGGTGGAAAATACTGGCGTCTGGGGCATAGTTTCCTGAAGAAGTGGAGGAAAAAATGGAAGTGGGGTGAGTGAGCGAGCCATTGGCAAGGGCTTTTTAATGCACCCGTGTGGCTTTCTCAGCAGCAACACACATGCTGGAGCTCATGTTCCATTGGCATGTCATTAGGTGTCATTGGATCAGGCTGCGTATTTGTGCTCAACATTTGAGTGAATGTCAAGTGAACTTTGGAAGGTGAGCTTGCACAAGCGCGCCTGAAACACTGCATTAAAAAAAATAAGTACACATTCTTAATCTTACCTTGCGCACTGGCCGGCAGGATGGTGTTGTTATTATTATTATTATTGTTGTTATTATTATTATTATTATTATTACTATTATTATAACATTTCTATGCCATTATTATAACATTTCATTTTTAGGTCCCACAATAAAAGGATGAAAAGCAGCCAGCATAGCTAGAGGGCGAATTCTTACAGAAAAGCACACCTAAGTCACTGCACATTTAAATACACACTTCTACTTCAACTTCTAGTCATTACTAAAAGTCAAGGGCAATGTTCAAGAATACCAAGAAAAACCCAATAATCCTAATTATTCATAAGGCTCCCTATCGCACCATTAAAAGATCTGCTAAAAAACAGAACACATGCAAAATAAAAAAGCCCACCAATGAGAAGCTTGGCAGGACAGAGTTGTATCAAGTTTAAATACCTGCATGTAATTCTAGAGTGGGCTTCAATTCATAAGGTTCCAGAAAGACAATGGTCCTTCAGCGTTGGGCATTGTTGGGTTTTGATTGTGCAATGACATTGTTGGAAAAATCACAGAAGAGTAGAGTTGGAAGGGGCAATCAGGTCCAGCCCCCTGCTCAGCGCAGGACTCCAAGTCAAGCCATCCCTCTCAGATGGCTGTCCAGCTGCATCCTGAATGTGTGGAAGTGCCCACCATCTCCCTAGGGCATTGGTTCCGTTGCTGTACTGCTCTAACAGTCAGGAAAATTTCCCTGATATCTAGCCAGAATCTGGCTTCCTGTAACTTGAGCTCATTATTCCGCATCCTGCACTCTGGAATGATTGAGAAGAGGCCCTGTCCTTCCTCTTCGTGACAGCCTTTCAAGTACTTGTAGAGTGTCCATGTCCACAACCTTTGGCTTGGCTCTTCTTGCTGTAACTGTCTGCACTTTCACCTCCTCTGAATATGCAGCCGGTGAGAAGGGTGAGAAGATGGGCTCACTTTCTTCTCTTGCCTTCCACCCTCCTTTGGGCACTGGTGAAGACTAGGCCTGGAGGGAGCCCAGTCTGTGACTGTAGGAGATGATGAACTACCTCAAAGAAGGTTCCACAGAAGCATTTTGTCTCAAGGTCCCCCAAAACCTGGAAGCAGAACTGGGCCCACGGCTCCAGTTCACGGTTGGTCATATCTCACAAGAATCAGAGAACAGTAGAGTGGAAGGGGCCATGAAGGCCATCGGGTCCAACCCCCTGCCGTTGCAGGACACCACGTTACACTATCCCACTCAGATGGCTGCCCAGTTTCTTCTTGAATATCTCTAGTGTGGGAGAGCCCACCACCTCTCCAGCAGCTGGTTCCACTGTCGTGTTGCTCTGACAGTGAGGAAGCTTTTCCTGATGTCCAGCCTGAATCTGGGTTGTTGCAACTTGAACTGATTATTCCATGTCCTTCTGAGGACATCACTTGGGGAAGGCTGTAATGAGCCCATCCCAAGTTGTTGAGATGGACAGTTCATGGGAAACCAGTCTCTCCTACCCACATGTCAGTCCAGCATGTCTGTCCTTCTTAGTCTGTTTGCCCAGTACTCTCTCCCATGAACTGTTCTAGAAGTGGCTGAAAGCACACCTGTTGGGTGCATCACAACATCTACCCACTGTGCAAATGGGCTTCTGGAACACAGAAGGTGTGTTGCTGATGCCATCTTGTCCACAGGTAGCAAAACACTGAGGACTGGGACAGCCAGGCAGTGTTTGAAACAAAGAAAGAAAGAAAGAATCAAAAGCAGTTCTGGCGACATTGTTCTTCTTGCCATGAAGACTGAGGTGGGCTTTTTGCCTCCCTGGGGGAACACCTGAGGGCCAGCTATGCATAGTACAGCTTTTTTTGTGGAACTCTTGCTGTGAACCAGGGAATGGCTGCAAGACGTGCTTCCTGAAATACTTAAATACTCAAGGATGACTGCCAAAGGGATGGCTCCTTATTGCCAATTGATATGGGATTTCTATTCTTTGCATGTATTGCTCGCAGTCGCCTCTGCCCTCGCAGCCCTGTCATCTGCAGCTTTCACTTTCCACTGGTTCTCTGGCCTATTTCATTCCCCTTTCCTAGGCACCCTGAAATGCCCTGCGTGGTGTGGTAGATGGAGCACCAGACTGGGGATCTGGGTTCCAGTCCCCACTTGACCATGAAACTCACTGGATGACTATTGGCCAGTCCTTTGTTCTTGGCCTAACCCACTTCACAGGGTTGTTGTGCAGATAAAATGGAGCCACTGTGGGTTCTTCACAAGAGGAAAAACATCAGGATATAAATAGAATATAATAGCAATAATAAGAAGTGGGAACACAGTCCTCTGCTGCATAGTTAGATGCAGGCCAGCACTCTGGCTCCTTCGACAGCAGCATCTTGGAAACCCATCCTGCACATTTACACAGCTTTTGGGGAGCTTCTCTAGGCTAAGAAATGGTACTGGAACAAAAATAGAAATAAAAATAGCATCCCGCCTGCTCAGCTCGCAGGCCCAAGTCCCTCATGGCTGTTTACAAGTTAGAACATGGAATGTCCCTAATACTGAACTTCAGCACAGCTCTCACATGTTTGTCATTTAAACGTTTTGAAGTGACTCATGTGAACTGGGACAGGAGACAGAATGTACAGTGTTTAATTGGCTTATAATTAGGAAATGGAACAGGGCGATTCTGTGCAGAAGCACTTCCTCGGCAATGTTCTGTGGTAGTCACAAATTTGGTCACAAGGCAGCATCGCAGAAGTGTGCAGCCGCTTGACAAAAGGGCTGCTCCTTTGGGAGGATGGGACGGAATGGCAGAGAAGGCGGCTTGCTTCTGATAATTATGCAAATCGTCTCCGAGTTTACTCCTTCCTTTTAAGGTGCACACAGCCATGCGTTTTAAGGAGCCGCTGAGTGCATACTGTCAGGCTTCACATCTAGCTGCACACCCAAACTGCAACTTACAGAATGGGGAAAAGATCTTCCTCTCTCCACAGGACTGGAACTCAGGGTTGTGCAATGACCCAGGCTGGCAATTTTAAGACAGAAAACACAAACATTCTTTTGATCAGCGTGCTTAATTCACCAACAGGAGCCACTGCCTCAACACCCAGAGACAGCCACGAAGTGAGACCAGTGGAGTCTGCAACAAGACTTTGCAGCGCTCCTATCATGGCAGCCAGCCATGCCCTCTGCCAAGATGCTCCGTTCCATCCCCAGCAAATACCAGGCATGTTGTGGCCCCTGAGCATGCGCAATCCACAAACGGCATAGGCGCCTGCTTTTGCTAAAGTTGTCCCGAACAGGTGCAGGTGTGGGAGTAGCACAATCGTAATCTGCCATGCAAACCAGCTGCAATGTTTACACAGTCATACGGCTATGCCTGGTTTGGCAGAACCACTCTGTGACTGCGGAGCAGGGGTGAGTAGGGTTCCTGACTGAATAGAGAAGCCCTATAGTTTCAGCTTTAGTACTGGACCCCCCCCCCACCCTTTCATACTTCACTGCAGCTCCTCTGTCTCTGCCTATTCAGTACATACAGCAAGGAGGATCCAACCCTGTCACTCCACTTGAACAGTTCCTGCACTCACCTATCTAAATGGGATTCGTTTCTTCACACCAGAAGACAGAAAACCACTTTTTCCTCTGTCAGGTTGTCAAATGCCTAATCCTGTACATCTCAAAGGCATCGGCTGCTTAGCTTTAAGCTGCACCACTCTAGTGCCTGTGGAATCCCTTAATTCCTCAGCTTGGAACCCTACAGATGTTTTGGACTTCAGTTCCTATCAGCCCTAGCCAGCCTGACCAATGGCAAGCCATGTGGGGGCTGCAGCCCCAAATATCTGGAGTGCACCAGGCTGGGGATGGCTGCCTTAACAGGTAAATTCATTAGATTCGTAGCCAGGCCTCCACCCAAGGGGCTCAGAGATCCATACACCACATTTTCTTTTCACACAACCTCTCCCAGGTGAGAAATACAGTGACTGCCCACACAAACTCCAGAAGCACGGCTAGGACAGGATGGAAACTTGTTGTTTTCCTAGTCCAGAACTAACACACCGTCCACTGTACTGCAGTCACTATCCAGGAAGTGCTTCCAAAGCTTTGAGAACCCCAGCTGCATGTTTCATTTATCAACATACACAGTGCCTTGTAAAGTAACACAAGCAAAAAAACTCTTTGTCCCTAAACTGCAAGCCCATGCCTGTGTACATGGCGGGCACTGCTTAGGCACAGAGACTCCACCACTCCATGTCTGTTTTTCCCCCTTTCCTGGGAACACCTCCTCCAGGGCTGGGCAACTTGATATTCCCCCAGAGGCTTTGGACCACGCTTCCCCTAATCCCTGAGCGCTCCTACTGCCTGGGGCTCGCAGGAACTGTGCGGGAAACATTTGCGGGACCCTACTTTGCCCGTCTATCACCTGGCTTAATCGTCCAGCCAGTCCCTGCCCCTAATCTGGCCTCACGGACCAGCAGGGGCCCAGAAATCCACAACCCCGGGTCGTTAAGCGGCGCAGCGTACCAGAGGGACCCCGGAAGAAAGGAGAAAAACACCCGACAGCCGATCCTCCATAGTCTCCCTCTAGTTCAAAGTGAGGCTGTTGTGAACCGCTCAGAGCTATTGGAGTGGGAGCAGGGGAGAAACATGAAATCAGTAGCAAACCGTGCGCGTGTGGGTGTGCGTACGCATGAAAGCGAGAGCGCGATGGTATCTTTGCTTTGGCGCGCCGAGAGCGCCAAGTGGCTCTGTTTACAAGCTTCACGCACTTAACCATGTCGAAGCGAAAAGTCACCCGCGCTCGTGACGCCTGTCCCTTGCTCCATGCTTGCACCCAGCTCGAAGAAGGCATTTGCTGCGATCTTCTCTGTCGGTCAAACCACTCCGATTGAGGGCTCTCACCAGCACATGTACTGGGAAGTCTGCCCAAGGAGAGGTCAACGGCGGCAGCCAGAGACTAAACCAAACCGCAATACGCTTTTTGAAGCTATCATTATTTGATTTTGAAGGAATCCCTCAAAGAGGGGAGAGGGAGAGAGCGAGAGAAAGAACGCACCAACTTCTAATGCATGAACCGTAACGCATCACCAAGACTTGTACGCCGTCCCAGATATGACTTTTCCACACTGCTTGTACCTGGCGCGTGTGTTCTGATGCCCGCTTAGCAAAGACGCCACACTCTCGCTCGGGTGCAGACCTTAATTTACGATCCCTTATGGGCAGCGGGGAGGAGGTGGCGGGGAAGTGGCCAAACCAGGCAGCAGAGAACGCAAGCATTGCTAGAAAAGTGCTGTAGCGAGGCACGGAAGGAGGATGCGGAGAAACAGTCCTGCTTACCCTCATGGTTTTCTGTCCTATGTACATAAGCTTGTGGGGTGATGGAGAGCTCCTGGACGCGCGCTATAGGGGAGCAGAGCCCTTTGAGTCGCGCATGGCTGTCCCAGGCCGGGAGGAAAAAGCAAGAACTCCACTCTGCTCTCCGTCTCTCGCCCTCGCTGGCTCCGGCTCCTCTTCCCGCCAGCTCTGTCCTAAACAGCTCCAGTTCCTCCGCCAAGCAAGAAAACCCCGCAAGCTCCCCAGACTGCCCGTGACGTCATGGGTAGCCCGGCTCGCCATTGGCTGGGAGGGAACTTGGTTGATTCAAAACTAGCGTTGGCCGAGGCTTTCCTTTGTGAGCGCAAAGCGCAAAGCGCTCGTCCGGCGCTGCGCTGCCTTTTCGCAACGGGCTGGGGCGCCCCGTGGGAATTCCGCTTCGCACGCGCGGCTACCAAAAGAGGCGCTGGGCAGCCAGGGAAGAACTCACTCCACTGGCTCCCAATTATTCTAATTGATTTATCGAATATGATTTATTTGCACTTGGTTGAATGGATAGATTAGTTGCAGGATATTGGGTGGGTAGCGCTGGGGATATTCCAGAGGGCCGGAGGGGATCCGTCACTTTCAGTACCACTGGAAATTTTGTGCCAAAATCACAAAAGGTATTACTGTGGCCACAATTAAGAGCAAGAGCTTAATAAGCACAAAGTAGCCAAATCTCTGTCCCCATGGAGCCTGCAATTCAAATAGCATGACTTGCTATGTCTTCTGAAAACACAACATAAGCAGCTCTGTATCACTCGAGTGCAGCGGTGATAGCAACATCTCCCTATCTGAATAAGAACAGTGATTAAAGCATCCGAGAATGAACTTAAGGATGTACAACAACCTTTGCTTACATTCCTCCCATTTCCTGTGCCTCCCTTCCTTCCCATTCTTGGTATATATTTAGACTGTGAGCTCCTTGGGTGGGGATTGCTCTTTTTCGCTTGCTTTTGTGTCACCCTGGAAAGAGCTAAGTATGCTGGCAAGTACCAGATGATGCTAAGGGTGACTAGCACAGGGCTAGATGCCACTTTTACTGGGTTGCCATGAGCACTGTTTTGGCCTATTGATTTCGTCCTGCTGGAGTGGTGGATTCCCAGCTTGTCTCAGCATCCTTCCCTAGGTTAAGGGTGCTCCCTACACATGTGCCTAGCATTGCGTCCTAAAGAGCAGTAGACCTTTTGCAGATAAAATTCTCCTTAGGATGCTTTTACAAATGATGCGAACTGCATCTTTTGACCTTGACTTCATCGTATCTGAACGCTGAAAAAGGAAGGCTCCAAACTTTAAAAAACTGAATGCATATTCTAACCCATGTTGATTGGCGAGTACAGGAAATAGAAAAGGCAGTTTACAGACATGACTCTGAAAACAACCCTAAAGATAAGATTCCTCCTTCCCTCATTTCTGAGCACTCAGAGATAAATCATATCCTTAAAGAGGAGGCAAATCTCACTCAGAGCGCAGTACTAAAAAGAGGGCACCATTCAATTCAACTGGATTGAAGCCAAGCACTACTGCTTTCCATTTTATCACTTTCAATAGGATCTGTGTGGGTTTCATCTGAGATCCTTGAAGTGGCACTGGCTTTGAACATTTTGCCAACTTAACATCCAAATGCTCAGTGATTTTCCCAGTGCTGAGTGATTTTGTTTAAAAACAAAAACAAAACAAATTTGCTATATAAATCTGCAACCTCATTGTACCGCTCCTGCTTCTTAAGTTACACCAAGCCGTCATTTCCTGTCTTCCTTGTAGGAATGTACACATTACGCTGTATGTCGGCACCTATGTCATCCATAGCTAAACTCTGAGCGCCTGCAGAACTTCTGCCTGCAGAAGTCAGTGCTGCCTAATAACAGTGAGTAACCCGTGCATAATGGGAGCAACTATCCTGCTGCTCCAGCCTTTTCCAAACAGACCTCGGGAACAACTAGTTACAGCGAGTTTTTCTTAGTGGGTGGCTAAGGACGTGGTGGTGCAGCGCTCCTCTCCCACTCTGTACAAAGGTCATGGCGGTTCAGCTCCTCCCGAGAAGCTCTGTCAACAGTTTTGGCTTTCCTGACTCATTGATAAGAAACAACATTTCTGCCCACTTAGAAGGTGGAAACAAAAGTACTTCCAATAGCCTGTTCCCAGCTTTATTCAAGGCTGCACTTCAGTGGAGAAGCTAAGTTAGTTTTAACACGCAGGCAGGTTCCTGCTTCATCTATCCATGCAGCCTCCACCTTTGTACTGGGAGCTGAGAATGATCGTCAGTCCTTAAGAGTCATGAGGACTACTCTGCTGACTGCTCCTATCTGGTGTTGCGTGTTCTGTATTCTGCTCTTCCTCAGGCAGCAAGGTTTAAGGGCTTCATGTGCTTTAGAGTGCGAGGCTGCAGGTGCAAGATCCCATGGGAAGCTGCAACAGACTGTACACTCTGCCTGGCCTGCTGCCCTCAGTAAGCCTCTCAACAAGGAGCACAGGAAGTTATCCCCACAGACACCCACTGGTCCATCTAGCTCATTCTTCCCAATGCATGGGACTGCAGCTGCCAACATTCCCAGCCAATGTGGCCACTGACTGGGGGAAACAGCCACAGCCTTATATATCTGGCAGACACCAGTTTGGGGAAGGCTGATCTAGCTCCATACTGTCCACAGTGACCAAAAAATGCTTTTTAGGATTTTGAGACAGGAGTGCAGGCCAACGTTATAGGAGGTACCAGCATATTCTGTGTTCAGCACCAATATAATATAACATTCTTTTAATATCATCATCACACTGCATGTATATCTTGCCTTTTCCCTCCAATGAGGAACTCAGGGCAGCTTACATTACTCCATTTTATCCCCACAACAACAACCCTGTGAGGTAGGCTAGGCTGAGAGTCTGTGACTCAAAGTTACCCAGTGAGCTCCATGGCTGAGTGAGGACTAGAACCCAGGTCTGCTGAGTCCCAGTATTGCAGACGATGGAGGGGATAGAGTATTGGCTTTCCTGCAAACCATGGAAGGGGTTTGAGATAAGATTCGAACCAGGGTCTTTTCCATATGGCTTGACATCCTCTAGACAGAGCCTTAGACCTGTATGTAAAGCACCTTGGCACCAAATCAGAGCTAGCATTCAAGTCTCACCAAAAGTTACTGTAATATTCTGGTAAGTCTCTTCTAGTAATAATGTCTCGAAACAGGTGAATTAACACAACAGTTGCCATATTTATTTGCCCACCATAAACATGCACATTAGCATGAATAATCTTTCCTGCCCATTCCAAATGATCAACAGCTATATTTTTTTTAAATACCAATCTGCAGAAAAGCAATCAATGTCAAATGACATTTGACCAGATGCTCCCTCAAAATATACCAAATGCACCCCATTTTCCTGGATGGAATTTCCAGATGGATTAATGGATTGATCCCAGATGTCGCTTCTGGTTTGGAAAGCAGGTGCAAACCATAATACGCCAGTTCAGATACGACAGCAAATTACCATTTATACTAAACAAGTCACTGAGTGTGTGAGGGGAGGGGATGAGAGGCCTGTGCATGTTTCTGAACCTTCTGTGCACTTTAAATGAATATACGTTCTACAGAAAGGGATCTGAGATTGACTGCCTGTTAGACTCTGGATGGGTCAAGATCCTGAAGCATTTTGTAGGTGCATTGAAGAGAAACTTGGAGCAGGAAACAGACCAACTAAGCACAGTGTGGGTGGCAAATGGATACAGTCCCCCGAGCTACGGAGAGTTGAAGTCTGTGGCTTTACCTACAGGTTATAGGAAATGCCTCATAAAAACACAGAAGTAATACAGTTTGGCCTTGACTGACTGAACCCAGGTTTCTGGAGATGAATCACCCTTAAAAGATCTAAGAAGTTATTTATTTATTTATTTAGGAGACTTCTATGCCGCCTCATTCGCCGAAGCCTCGGGGCGGCTCACATTATGAGAAAGATCACGACTTACATTGGGAAGGAATGAGACTCTTGTTTTGCAGTCAGCTTTGAGCTGCCGGAGCAGGGAGGCTGGTAAAGCACCTGACAGGCACCCTCCCGTCCTCGGTTGCTGGAAGGGTTGCCAAACAACCAGAAAAAAACTGGTCTGGCCAGTTGTGTTTGCTTTGTCTTGCTCACAGGCCAGTTGGTTTATAGTTAGTGCCTTCTGTTCTTCGGCTTGGCGTCTCAGGCTTCCTTTGCAAATCATCCTCTGTTTAGTTTGCTAACGTGCAAAACAATATTTTAGCCATAATTAGACTGCGCTATTTATACCCTGTGCTGTTGTTCATGTAGTATTTTCCCAACTGCTGAAGCTTCTTCACAGTTCTTGACTCACGCACCTGCCCCACAATCCTTCCAAATACAATGACAACTACAGTGTTGATTATTTCTAATTTTTGTTTTTTCTGGAGGGCAACTTAGACTGGAAGTGCCTGGCTCATCATTGCTGATTAGCAAGAATTATGCCATGCGCTGCAGTGGAAAACAGCTTCCGAGTGATGTGGCCCTCAGTCGCCGTCATCCCTCATCACTGGCTATGCTGGTATGGGCTGATGGGAATCATGGGCCAAAACAGCTGCAGAATCACCAGCTTCCCATCCCGCCGTGCATGTTTACTGTTCACCCACGGGTGTTCACTATACGTTTTACACAACCCTCAGGAACAAGATCCATAACACCAGATGAGCAAGAATATCTAAGAATCGCAGTGCAACCCAAAGGCCAATTGATTCTATCATGCTGTCATATATATGACAGTCATTTTGGCAAATTACAAAAAACCCTGGAAGCCACATTATTCAAAAGTATTTTATCCTGTTCACCAAATTTATGTGGGCTTCTTTGCTTCTTTACTTGGACTAAGCAGTTTTGGTAACACTGGTACAGATGAGCAAAGAAAACATTTAAAACGTTTCTTACTTGTAGAGATAGATAACAACTGCACTGAAAGAGTCAAATATAAATTGAGAGTTAAGTTATTGTGTGGTATAAACTATTGACTTACAGGCACTTGGATAAATTGCATACCTGATGGATCTTCCAAGAGAGTAACAAGTAATTAGAAAGGCATTAATTTACATTCTTCCAACTGGGGCTACCTTCTTAATTACAAGGGAAGCAGTTCTGACACATGCCATTTACATCCTTTTATTAAGTCCTTTGAGTAATTTGCAGGTATGTTACACATACCTATTCTAAAAAGTCAGATTTTTGTAGAATGCCGTGC